CCCGTCCCGCCGCGCCCTTGGCCGCGCGGCGATGGGGTCCGCCGTGTGGAGGCCCCGGCGGGGGCCTCGGGGGCCGGCCGGTGCGACGGCGGGGCTGAGCGAGGAGAAGCTGCACGGCCAGAGCAGGCGCGGGAGGAGCTGCGGGCGCGGCCCGGGGCTGGGGCTCCGAGGGGCGATGCTCCGCCTGTACCCCGGCTCTTGCGCGCATAAATAAATCTTAAAAAAAAAAAAAAGGAATGAGGCCCACGGAGGCCGGATCCACCCGCGCCCCACCCCGGGGAGCTGCAAGAGAACATGGGCCCGAAGCCCCCTCACAACCCGGGAAGTGTGTGCAAAGTGTGTGCGTGTGTGTGGAAGTGTTAGTAAGCAATCTAACAAGCCAGGAATGAGAACGATGTTAGCAATGTGCTGGCCTTAGCTACACTCTAATTGTATACAAATGGAATGGATTGACACATGACACATTATTTGCATAATAAAATTTAATTTCAAAAACAAACATTCAAGTCATCCTGAATGAACAAGTATTTCTAGGGCTACAAATCTGGATGCTGTTCCCGGCTTCCTTACTGTAAAAGTTTCAGAATCAAACATAAAACTGAATGCAATGAAACAACACAAGATTATGTAACTTTGGGCAGTTACGATTACTGGTTTTACGGAGAGCTAGGAATTCAAAAAGCTTTATGTTAAGAAAAGCTGATTCAGGGGCCTCCCTGGTGGCACAAGGGGCTAAGTCTCAGCACTGTGAGGCTATCTGCGTGTTCAGACTCCCTGCTGGGCTCTAGCCTTGCCAGTGCCTGGCTAAGAACTGTAATTGCAGGCTCCCTGCTGAGCCATGTGGGTGTCACCTCCTGCTGAGCACTGAAATTGCCAGGTCTCTGCTTGGGTCTGCAGATGCAGATTCCCTGCTGAGCCCTAAAGCTGCTGGCGCCCTGCTGGGCTAGTGGTGCCGGCTCCAGCTGGGACCCAGACTTACAGTCCCTCTCTCGGTTCTCTAGGTGTTGGTTCCCTACTGAGCCCTATAGGTGCAGGCTTCCAGCTGGGCCCATTCTTGTCCAGCTCCCTTCTGGGCCCTAATGGTGGGGGTCCTATACTAGGTGCCAGCTCCCCGCTGGGCTCTATCAGTATCGGCTCCCAGCTGGACACCACAGATGGCAGCTCCCTGCTGTGCCCTCAGATGCTGACTCCCTGCCAGCACAGACTCTGCTTGGCCTTTAGTTGCCGATGTTGGGCACTGTAATTTTGCGCTACCTGCTGGGTTCTATAGGGTTCGGATTCCTCCTGGGCCTGTAGTTGTAGGCTCCCTGCTATGCGCTTTGTGTGCCAGCTCCCTACTGGAACTCAGAGTTGCCTGCTCCCTGCTAGCCCACATGGCACAGCAGATTTCTCCTGTCTCACCAGCTGCTCCCCTTAGCAGTGTATTTCAGTGGCTCCATTTGTTCTGCTCCCCCCCACTCTCTAGTGAATCCTCTCACCCTCAGCACTTCTGCACTACACCCCAACTCTTGTATGCAGAAACAAACAAAATAAATTAATAAAAAAAAGCTGATTCATGATTTTGGGACAAAAGAATCCAGTTTTATTTTTTTAAAGATTTATTTATTTATGCATACAAGAGGTGGGGTGTAGGCCAGAAGTGTGGGGGTGAGAGGACTCACCAGAGACAGAGCGGGGAGCAGAACAGATGGATCCACTGAAATACACTGCTGAGGGAAGCAGCGGGCGAGAGAGGAGAGGTCTGCTATGCCATGTGGGTCACCTCCCTGGCCAGGGATCGAACTCATGTTGCAGTGGCTGCAGATAGCTTCATAGTGCTGAAACTTAACCCCTTGTGCCGCCAGGGAGGCCCCCGGATCCAGTTTTAGATAAAAGTATGAAAGATGCGAAGTGAAACAACTTATGTACAGCTTGAATTGGACTGGACGCAATGCCATTTGTATTGAAGGCACTTTTTTTTTCCTAGAAGATATTCATGCAGCAAGGCATCTAATGCCAAGCTATTTCAAAATCAGCTTCAAAGCCTTTCATTTCCTTTTTCATGTGTAAGAAGACCCCTGAATTCCTTGTGTGGTTCCCTGGGGAGTGGAAGGACAGTTTCTATGACAACACCAGCTCATCAATCAAGCCATAGAAGGGATGAGAGGATGGGTCTTCCCTGATTTCCAGCTTGGAAGTCTCACCTAGATTGTTTTCTTTTCTTTTTTTTTTTTTTAAAGATCCATCTATTTATTTATACAAGCACTGGGTACAGTCAGAAGCGCGGGAGGGTGAGAGAATTCACCAGAGCCAGAGCGGGGAGCAGAGCAGGCAGAAGGACCGATGTACACTGCTGAGGGAGCAGCGGGCTGCAGGAGAGGTCTGTGCTCCAGGTGGGACCCTTGCTGGTGGCCGGGGAGTAGCCGGGGATCGAACCGGCGCTGCAGAGGCTGCGGGCAGCTTCGCAACCCAGCGGTCATCTGCTGCGCCACTGGGGAGGCCCACCTAGATTGTTTTCAACCAAGCTGAGAGAGGAATGGAAGGTGAGGATCATAGCTAAAAGCAGATAAAGCAACAGAGCCGGGTCTGGAATCTTGGTCTGTCAAGTTTTCGGGACATTGCTGACTTCCTCACCCCGACTGACCTCTTAGGAAAACAGACTTACTGAGATTTAATTAACCTATCATATAATGTACCCATTTAGAGTGTACAACTCCGTGGTTTTTAGTATATTTACAGAGTTCTGAAATCTAATTTTAGGACACTTTGATTATCCAGGGGAAAAAAAAAAAAAAACCCATGCTTGTCAGCAGGCACTTCCACTTCCTGCTAATTCCCCAGCCAACCATGACCCCACTTTCTGACTGTGTGGGTGGCCTGTTCTGGACATTTACCATCAATGGAATTACACACTGTGTGGTCATGTTTCAAGGCTCATCTGTTGTAAGATGAATAAGCAATTTATTCCTTTTTCAAAAAAGATTTATTGGGCCTCCCTGGTGGCGCAGGGGATAGAAGACAATGCTATCAAGCTACCAGCCACTGCAGCAAGAGTTCGATCCCCAGCTGGCCAGGGAGCAACCCACATGGAGAAGCAGAACTCTCCTGTTTTGCCCACTGCTCCCCTCAGCAGTGTATTTTAGTCAACCCGCCTGTTCTGCTCCCCACTCTGTCTCTGGTGAATCCTCTCACCCCCCACATCTCTGGCTTACACCCCAGTTCTTATATGCATAAATAAGTATTTTTTAAAGATTTATTTATTTATGCATACAAGAGCTGGGGTGTAGGCCAGAGGCACAGGGGATGAGATGATACTCCAGAGACAGAGTGGGGAGCAGAACAAGAGGACTGACTGAAATACACTGCTGAGGAGAGCAGCAGGCGGACAGGAGAGGTCTATCCGTCATGTGGGTAGCTCTCTTGCCAGACCCGGATCAAACTCATGCTGCTGTGGGTGCTGATAGCTTGATAGTGCTGAGACTTAACCCCGTGCGCCACCAGGGAGGCCCAATTTATTCCCTTTTATGACCAATAATATTCTACTGGATGCGTGGACCACATTTGTTTATCCATCAATGAATTGGTGACCATTTGGGCAGTTTTTACTGTTTGGCTGTTGTGAATCATGCTGCTGTGAACATTTGTGCTCAAGTTTCTATGTGGACATGTTTTCAGTTCTCTACAGTGTATTCCGAGGAGTGGAATTGCTGGATTGCAAGGTAAATCCACATTTATTTATTTATTTTTTGTGGGACCCTCGCGGGAGGCCGGGGAACAAACCGGCGCTGCAGAGGCTGCGGGCAGCCTCGCAGCCCAGCGCTCAACCGCTGCGCCACCAGGGGAGACCCCAACTCCACATTTATTTAGCCACCTAAGATGCTGCATCGCCTAGGTGCTAGGAATATAGCAATCAGCAAAAAGGCAGGTCAAATGGAGAGGGACATGTGGAGAGAAAAAATAAGTGTGGGGCAGCCTCATGGAGGTGACATTTGTGCAAAGACGTGGAGGACATTAAGCAGTGAACCAGGGAGATAATCCGGGGAGAGACATTCAAGGTGGAGGGAAGAGGGTGCAAAATAGGGATGAATGAAACGAACTCATTTGCGGAACATCAGGTTGGCCAGCGTGAGGTAAAGGAGAGGCGCCTTGTGCAGGGAAATTAGGGCAGATTGTTTGGGGTCAGTTGGGGCATCGTGAACACGCAGCGGCCACAACCGGTGTCCCGCCAGTAGGGGAAGTCCCGGCCCAGGCCCTGAGACCAGCCTGCTGAGCCGGGTCCCCGGGATCCCACCGTCCAGCCTGCCTACCCACTACACTTCCCAAATGCCTCCAGCCCAGCTCCTGATCCCAGTCCCGGCCCGACCCAGGCCTGGCCTCACCTGGGCAGTATCCCAGGTCCTGGGCATTGCCGGCCGCCTCATTTCGCATAAGGGAAGCGGCGGCCCTAGGGGTAGAGCAGCCCCGCGTCTAGGAGCCCTGGACTCAAATTAAGGCCCGGCCAGAGGGACGCCGGGGGCCCTAAGTCCAGTGAATAAATAAAAAGGAAACTTCCCCAAAAGGGTGTCAGGAAGCCCTACTTCGCTCTGGGGCAGGTAGGCGGCCGTCGGCACGGACAATAGTCCCTTCCCAGGCATCCTTCCGCCGTTGCTATGACAACTGGGGCGGGCCCCGAGCTCCGCGGAGCAGGCAGGAGCCGGGTATCCAGCCTACAGTCCGGGACGCCGCCGCACCGCGCCTGCTGGCCCTTTAAGAGGCTCCGCCCGTCGAGGTCTCAAAGCGCCGTGATTGGTCCCGAGGGTGGTCGAGCGCAGCCGAACTTGACGCACCGCCCGCCGCCCTACCGACCCACCTCCCACGCGGCTCCGCGGCACCCTCAGCCAATCGCCAACCGGCGCGCCGACCCTCATCTGCATGTTCACGCCCCTGGGGAAGGTCCCACCCAATCCGACCACTCGCAGGGGTCGTCCTTAGCATGCCGGGGGCGGGGCGGGGCGGGGCGGGCGGCGGGGGCGGGCTCGGGGCGGTTGGTTGGAGCGTCGCAGCAGCCGAGAGGTCCCGGAAAGTTTCTTTGGAGGTGAAAACAGCCGCGGAACTCGGGGCGCTGCAGGGGGGCGGGGGCGCGGGGATCCCGGGATCGGGACGGGGCCCCTCCCGGGCGGGGGGTGAGGAACCGGGCCCTCCGGGAGGCGATCGCCCAACAAAGGATCCCTGGGGCGCCCGCCCTCGAGGGCCTCCCCGCCCCCGGATCCGGCCCCCCCTGCGCCCGGGGCCCGGCTCCGCAGCGGGTCCCGCCGTCGGCGACTCTGAAGCCCCCGCTCGGTCCGTCTCTCGCCACGCGTCTGCGTTCCAGGCGCGGCCCGGAGTGCCATGTCCCACGGCCCCAAGCAGCCCGGCGCGGCCGCAGCGTGAGTGCGACGTCCCCTCCCCCGCGCGGGGCCGCGGCCCGGCCCCCGCCGCCTCCCCGAGCGCCTCGGTCCCGCCCGGGGCCCGGCCCCCCGACCCGGGACGGGCCCCCCTCCGCTGCCCCCCACCGCTTTCCTCCAACCCCGACCCAGTCCCCCGGGTCTTCTGCTGGCCCCAGCACCTCTGCCCCGACCCCGCCTCCCGGGACCCGAGTCCCTCGTGGCCACGCGTCCGTCGAGGCGAGGGCGGTGAATCCAGCGTCCCGGGGCCTCGGCTCCTCCCAGGGGTCCCTGCTGCCCCCACGAGCGCCCCGGTACCGACCCCCCTGCCGGGGCCTGGGCGCCGTACTTCCAGCCTGGAGGTCGGGCTTAGGGTGGGGTGACCGTGGCGCCCCGTGGCTCCAGGACGGCGGGCGGCAAGGCTCCGGGCCAGCATGGGGGCTTCGTGGTGGCTGTCAAGCAAGAGCGAGGCGAGGGCCCGCGGGCCGGCGAGAAGGGGTCCCAGGAGGAGGAGGTGAGCGCCCGCGCGGGGGGTGGGGGGGGCCCTGGATCGCGCCCCTCGCCTTGAGGCCCCGCCCAGTCTGGATTTGAATTTGCCGTGGCCCCGCCCACAGCCGCCTTTCCCTGCGGACGCCTCTCCCGGAGGTTGCCCGCCTCCCTGGACTCAGACCCCGCCCCGCGGGTGCCAGTTCCGCCCACTGCCGGGGCTCCCCGGGCTCCAGGCACCCTCGGGTGGTCCCCGGGTTCCCCCGCAAGAGGCCACGCCCACGCCCAGAAGCCACGCCCACAGCGCGAGCCAGTGGCAGCCCGGGCCTGCCCCCTGCCCCAGCAGCGCCGATCCCTCCATCCCTAGCCAGGGCCCGTCCCTCTCCCAGCCTCGATGGCTGACCCGGCCAGATCTCCAGGCCTTTCGGGTTCTATCTCCGGGCTAGACCCCACCCAAGCCTCCCCATGCCCCCTCTGGGCCCCGCCCCCCTCCTGACTCCTCCCAATGGCGGCCGCGTTGTGCAGCCGGTGAAGAAGCGCGGGTGGCCTAAGGGCAAGAAGCGGAAGAAGATCCTGCCAAATGGACCCAAGGCTCCGGTCACCGGCTACGTGCGCTTCCTGAATGAGCGGCGAGAGCAGATTCGCACGCGCCACCCGGACCTGCCCTTCCCCGAGATCACCAAGATGCTGGGCGCTGAGTGGAGCAAGCTGCAGCCCGCGGAGAAGCAGGTGGGACAGCCTGGGACCGTTGTCCTCCCGCTAACTTGGATAACCCCTGGCGGCCAAATTCCCCAAAGGATCTAATGTGGGGTCCTCTCTTGCCTGGAGAGTTGGCCACCCATGAGTCCTCCCCAGCCTATTGAAGGGAGGGTAGCAATAAGCAAAAATAGAAAAGTAACTGTCTAAACCAGTAGGGATGGAGGCTGGATTTTTATGTACAAACTTGATTTTCAAATCCTGGTAATTTAAACATTACAAAAGCAACAAAGAAATGTAACAAAACACCACCAGTTTGCACCAAGTCAGCTTTCAATAAGCAAATTGGGTGCTAGAGGTGGGACTATGTGGTCATCAGGCACCAGGGCGCAGTTTGTGAAGGCTAGAGTTGTGGTGAGGGAACTGGGAGGTGGCCTGAGTGCAGGCTGAGGGATGGGGTTCACTGAAGGGCAGTAGGGAGCTTGGGAAGGTTCGCATAGCCACCTGGGTGATGGAGATGGGGTCCTGCCCTTGGAGGCCTCCTCTGCCCCCTGCTGGGCCAAGCCTTCTGCTGCCCTGCCAGCGGTACTTGGATGAGGCGGAGCGGGAGAAGCAGCAGTACATGAAGGAGCTGCGGGCGTACCAGCAGTCAGAAGCCTACAAGATGTGTACGGAAAAGATCCAAGAAAAGAAGATCAAGAAAGGTAGGATGACAGTTGAGTGGCTGTTCTGAGACTGGTGACCCAGGCAGATTGGCCACCCCCACCATGGGGTTCTCAGTTCAGTGGGGATGAGAGATATGCAACCAGCCAGTGTAAGTGAGCAGGACTGAGCGGTGCTGAGATGAGGCGGAGTCGAGGCAGAAGCCTACTCCGGGATGAGTAGGGCTGACCTGGAGGGAGGTCAGGAGGGTGTTCCAGGCAGACAGTGTGTGTGAAGCTGGGGTCAGAGGACACTGGGAGGCTGAGCCTGTCCTCTTCTCCCCCCACCACCAGAGGACTCGGGCTCTGGGCTCATGAATACCCTCTTGAATGGACACAAGGTAAGCATCCCTTCTCCAAGGAGAGCCCACGGGCAAGACAGATCTGGTCTGCAGGTCTTTAGAGCCTTTGACCCAGGACCAGGGCTCCCGGGAGGACGCGAGCACCATCCTCCGGTGTATGCAAGAACACCTTAGGAGTGTTGATAAATGGGCTCCGTCCCAGTAGTCCAGAGAGTCCCTCCAAGCCTAGGGAACGTCCCAGAGGGGGTTGTCGGCCTCCCCCGCCCCCAAAAACACTGCCACCTCATCCTGTCGTCCCAGGGTGGGGACTGCGAGGGCTTCTCCACCTTCGATGTCCCCATCTTCACTGAAGAGTTCTTGGACCAAAATAAAGGTGAGCGCTAACCTGAGGTTCCTGGTGCGAGAGGATGGGGGAATTTACCACTAAAAGCTGAGGTGCCTTCTTCGTGGGGTGGCGTGGAGGGGGGCGGGGGTTGTCGCAGCTCAGCCTGCAGAGGACAGGGGAGGAAGCGGCCCGGTCTGACCCGGCTCCTTGGCTGCAGCGCGGGAGGCGGAGCTGCGGCGCCTGCGGAAGATGAACGTGGCCTTCGAGGAGCAGAACGCGGTGCTGCAGAGGCACACGCAGAGCATGAGCAGCGCGCGCGAGCGCCTGGAGCAGGAGCTGGCGCTGGAGGAGCGGCGCACGCTGGCCCTGCAGCAGCAGCTCCAGGCGGTGCGCCAGGCGCTCACGGCCAGCTTCGCGTCGCTGCCGGTGCCGGGTGCGGAGGCCCCTCCCCGCCCCGGCCCCGCCCCGGCCGCCCCGCCCCGACGGCTCCGCCTCCTCGCGCCCCGCCCCCGCCCCGGCCGGCGTCTCCGGTCGCCTCTGCCCCGCCGGGGACCCCCTTCCCAGACTCTGTCTCCGCCCCCAACAGCCCCAGCCTCTCCCCGGACCGCCCCGCTCACCCCGTCCCCGCCGCCCCGCCCTCGCGGAGCCCCGAGTCTTCCTTACCAACCCCACCCCGCTGACCCCACCTTTGTCGGCCCCGCCGTCCCTGGGCCGCGGCTGTGCCCCCGACCTCGGCCGCCCTCCAGCCGCCAGCGCCGCGCCCCGCCCCGCCCCGCCCGCCGCTGACTGACTGCCCGGGCCCGGGCGCCCCGACGCCACCTCACCCCTCTGACTCGCCAGCGCCCCTCCCCTGGCCCGCGCCCTTGCACCCCCCTGACCTCTGACCTCCGATCCGCGGAGCCCCGACTGGGCGCTGCCCGCCCGGCTCGGCTGACGCCCCGCCCTCCGCAGGCACCGGCGAGACGCCCACGCTCGGCACCCTGGACCTGTACATGGCGCGGCTGCACGGCGCCATCGAGCGCGACCCCGCCCAGCACGAGAAGCTCATCGTCCGCATCAAGGAGATCCTGGCCCAGGTCGCCAGGTGTGTGCCGGGCAGAGGGGCCGCCCCGGGGCCGCTCGGCCGAGCGGGGCGGTCCTGCGCGGGGCCGGCCCCAGGCTAGACCTGCCCGGGCTGCCCGCGGAGAGCACTGGGTTCGCGCCCCCGCGGGGGCTGGGTCCGTGGCCCCGCTCGGTGGGGTCCCGCTGCCGGGGTCTCGCTGGGAGCCGCCGCCCCAAGGGGCTCTGCCCTGAGGGGTCGTTCGGCCAGGGCGGCTGAGGACCTCACCACTGGGGCGCTGGTCAAGCCCCTGCTATATTAACGACGCGGGGTGGGATCTGCCCGCCCCCCTCTTGGCTATGGGAAGCCATTTGGGGGAGCCAGAATTTCTCTAAAGCTTGGTGGGTTTTTCTGGGTGGATCCCAGACGCCCAGGTTAGGTGCAGTCAATTCCAGGCTCCCCTCCCAGGATCCGTTTGGAGGAACTGAGGGGGCTGCCCTTAGGATCCCCCAGAATCGGGGCGGGTGCTGAGAAATGATGGGTCCCCCTCACAAGCCTCCTCTCTCCTGTCACAGCGAGCACCTATGAGGGTGTTGGCCGGCCCACAGATCCCGAGGAGACCACGCTCTGGTCATGGCCCTTTCCCTGCCCCCGCCCCATGGAAGAAGGGCTGGGGGTCCACCTTGGGGCCAGGCCTGATCCTGCACCTTGGGGGCTCCAGCTCCCCTAAAATTAAATTTCTACAACAACCCTCTAGCTTTCAACCTCTAGTCCCCAAAACCAGAAAAATCCCCACCAAGCACAACACCCACGGGACCCCATGGTCAGGCCCCCAGCAAGGGCCGCTCGCCTCACAGGCCTCATCACACACTACAGGGATGTGGAAATGTCACAGGGTTGGACCCACAGCAGCTTACGCTTCCCCGGCAGGTGGGGGCAGGCTGCACACCAGTTCCCCAGAATGGGCCCCAGAACCCCTGGGATTCCCAGCAGGTGCTCATGTGTTCCCACAAGCAGGCAAGCTGCCATGACATGCTCCCACATGGGGAGGAGGCTCTGCTTGCCTGTCACCTTCCTGCAGCGCAGAATGGAGGGACTGACTGGTACTGGCCATCCCACCCTTGTCTGCTGAGGGACCCTGATGGAGGTGGCGCTTTAACCACTGTTCAATCTGGACTTTTTAAATTAAAAAAGTGAAACTTGAACATCAAACTTGTGAATGTTTGGGGGCAGGAGGGTTAAATCAGAGGATGTGTCAGGGCCCACCTCCCTTTCTTGGGGTCCTAGGCCTGCCTTCCCTGTCCCCTGGCAGTCACACACCCAATATCCATCTGTCGTCCTGCCTGTTCTGGACATTTCTAGTCAGTGCACTTACACCACGTGGCCTCCTGTGTCTGGCTTCTCTCCTTGGGTGTTGTATGTTCAGGGCCCCTCCCTGTGGTAGCGAGTGTCAGAGCTGCCCTCCTTTACGTGACTGAAGCATGTTCTGGTGTGTGGGTGGACACTTCGTGTGTGTCCATTTATCTGCTGATGGACACGGGCTGCTTCCACCTTTAATCTGCTGTGAATCACTGTGTGTGCAGGTTTTTGTTTGAACATTGTCAGTTCTCGGGTATATACCAGGAGTGGAACTTCGGGATCATTCTATGCTTCACTCAAGAGGAGGCCCCTCAGAGATGTCTGTGTTTAATGGAATATTGAAACATCCTAAAAATTTTGGAGAAGAGCTTGACAAACACCAGTGTTACAGGTTGAGTAATGTCCCCTCACAAGATCTGTGGAAGTCCTAACTTCCAGAACCTCAGAATGTGACCTTATTTGGAAATAGGGTCATTGCAGATATAATTAGTTAAGATGAGGTCATCCTGAAGTAGGGTGGGCCCCTAATCCAATATGACTGGTGTCCTTATAAGATAGCGATTTGGACACAGAAGAGACAGCCATGTGATCACAGGCAGATGCTGGAATAATGTGCGTTGCCAAGGGACACCAAGCGTTGACGGCCACCTCCGGGGAGAGGCTGGGAGGCCCCTACCCAGGATGTCAGAGGGAGCAGTCTTGCTGATAAACTGATATCAGACTTCGGGCTGATGGAAGGAAACAAATCCCTCTTTTTATAAAAACCCCCCAGCTTGTGGCACTTTGTCATGACAGCCCTGAGAGAGTCACACAATGAATATCAACCCCCCCTAGTGCGTGCCCTACTCTGGTGCAGGCACCTCATGCCACACGTGGAGCAGAGCAGCCCCAGGCAGGTCTTCATCTATTTTACCACATACATATGTCTTCCTAAAAAATACAAATGTGGGGGCCTCCCTAGTAGCACAGGGATTAAGTTTCAGTGTTATCACCCCTGCGGCCTGAGTTCAATCCCCAGCCAGGGAGCTGACCCACATGGCACAGCAGACCTTGCCTGTCTCGACTGCTGCTCCTCTCAGCAGTGTATTTCAGTCAATCCGCCTGTTCTGCTCCCCGCTCTGTCTCTGGTGAATCCTCACCCCCTGCACCTCTGGCCTGCACCCCAGCTTTTGTATGCATAAATAAATAAAAATAAAACTTTAAAATAGGGCCTCCCTGGTGGCGCAAGAGGTTAAGATGCAACCTATGAAGCTGTCCGCAGCCACTGCAGCACTTCAATCCCCAGCCAGGGAGCAACCCACATGGCGTAGCAGACCTCTCCTATCTAGCCCGCTGCTCCCCTAGGTAGTGTATTTCAGCCGATCTGCCTGTTCTGTTCCCCGCTTTGTCTCTGGTAAGTTCTCTCACCCCTGCACCTCTGGCCTACACCCCAGTTCTTGTATGCATAAATAAAATAAATCTCTTCAAAAAAATAACACTTTAAAATAAAGTATACAGTTCCTTGGTTTCTAGCATTAATTCACAAAGAAGGGCAACCTCTGTCAGGTTACTCTGATTCATAGTCATCAGCTTACTCTAATTCCAGAACATTCCCTGACTCCCTGTCCACACTAGCAGTCACCCCAGCCCCTGGCTCTCACCGATTTACTCTAGTTCTGGACCTTCCACATGGGTGGGGGCCCAGGCCGTGCTCCTGGCTGTCCCACAGTGCACTTTCCAGGTCCTTCCATGTTGTGGGTTTTTAAACTTGACATCAACTTTCTTACACTTTTCAAAACCATCTGCACTCACCTTTCCCATCAACGTTTGGTGTCTGAGGTTCTTCCGAGCTGGGAGGGCCCTCTGTTTCGCTGTGTCTGGCTCCCCACTGATGTTTTCTGTGAACCCAGGTTCCTGTTGGGGCAAGCCCAGTGTTGTGTTCCAAGGGGACTCCTACCACCACCTACTGGTGTCCAGAACCTTCCCCATCATTTGTGTCTTTGGCCTCCATTCATTCTTTCACCAAAGGTTGCCTGAGCATGGGGGCCAGGTGCTGGGCCAGGCCCCAGGGCTACCATGTGCTAGCTGCCTGTGGATAGGGAGCCTCGGAACTCAGGGTGTGGTGGGGGCCCCTCCTGGAGCTGGCATTTCAGATGGAAGACAGATGGGGACACAAGATAAATAAGTGAAATATCCACCTGGGATTGCGCTAAGTGCTAGAGAGGAGAAGCTGGGAAGAGAGCCTGGGAGGTGGCCAGAGGATGTGACATTTGAGCAAGGAAAGGGGCCTCACCCCTGCCGGTGCCCTGAGTTTCCCGGTGCCCTGTGTTGCCCTGGCAGGGAGCACACCACAGCCGGGGCCTCACGTGGGAATCTGGGAGAAGGTGCGGGAGGTGGAGGGACCAGCCTTGGAGAGGCCCGAGGCAGGCCCGGGGAGCCGGGGAGGCCTGGAGGGCTGTGGCTGAGCGTGGGCTGGACGAGGCCCGGCCCTGCTAGGGTGACCCTCCTGCCCACCTCCCAGGGTGGCGAAGATCGAGGCGCAAGGCCTCGCGGGCGGGCGTGCCCAGGGACGCCCCGCTGGCCCCCTTCTTGCTCGGGACCCTCGTTATTCCCGGGCCCGCAGCTCGGGCCGCAAGGCGCGCCAGGTGTCTCCCGGGAGCGCAGCTGGTCCTGGCAGGGCCGTGACACCTGGGCCCGCGCCCCTGGGTGCCCGGCGGTGTCGCCTTCCCGGGCCGCTCGGGTTCCCGGATCCCCTTACCCGGGCGGCTCGGCTGTCGGGCCCTCGGCCGGGGGAGGGGAGGCCGCAGGAAGCGGCAGATCCGGCGCGGCGGTGGTCGGGCGGCGCAGCTCCTCGGGTCATGGAGAGCGCAGGCGCCCGCGAGGCCCGGGGGGCCGAGGTCCCGCGCCAGCCCGCGCCCCCGCCCTCCCCCGCCGAGCCCCGGGCTGCGCCCCCCGCCCCGCCCGCGCCCCGAGTCCGTCCGCGCCTCGTATTCCGCACGCAGCTCGCACACGGGAGCCCCACGGGCAAGATCGAGGGTTTCACCAACGTCCGCGAGCTCTACGCCAAGATCGCCGAGGCCTTCGGGATCGCTCCCACCGAGGTGAGACCCCGACCCCAGCGCCCGGGCCCACCCAGCTGACCCGGGGCCAGGGTGGGGCCTGGACTCCGTGGCCTGGGGGCCTCGGGATCCCCGATCCCCGGACGGAGGGGCCCGGATCCCCGGGCCTCAGAGACCAGCCTCTGGGATGCGGGGATGTCGGCGCCCAGAGCACCCCCTTCGCGTGGCCGGCGCATGAGACGGGCGAGCAGCCCATAGGGTTAGTGGGTCCTTAGACCGTCCAAGAACCTTCTGCGCCGACCCAGGTGGGAGTGGGTCCGGCCATCGGGGATGAGCCCTGCGTCCCGGGCGCGCGCGGGGCTGGGGGTGGCGGTACCTGCCAGGCGAGGACGCGCAGGGGCAGGGCTGGGCTGCGGGGCTGCGCCGCACGGCCTCCAGGGGGCGCCAGCTGACTCAAATCTGCTTTAAAAAGATGATCCGGGGCGTCAAGTCCCCAAAGGGTTAAATGTGGGAGTCTGGGGGAGGCGAGAGGGGGGTCTCCTCCTGCCCACAGCTTCCGTCTCACCCTGCTCCCCTATTCTGGGAGCCCCAGTCTCCCTTTTTGCTCCCCATCCCATTCTGAGGTCCCACAGCCTCCCGCTTCTGACAGACTGGTGCCAGGGAGCTGGCCGCTTTCTGCCCCTGTGGGTTTTGGCTCCCCTGTCCACCCCCTTAGCCCGTCACCCTGGTTGTCCTGTGCAGACGTGGGGATGAGCACTTGTTAATTCTGGGTTCCCCCTCCCCTGGGGACAGATCTTATTCTGCACCCTAAACAGTCACAAAGTGGACATGCAGAAACTCCTGGGAGGCCAGATAGGGTTGGAGGACTTTATCTTTGCCCACGTGCGCGGCGAGACCAAGGAGGTGGAGGTCACTAAGACAGAGGACGCTCTGGGACTGACCATCACAGACAACGGGGCTGGCTACGCCTTCATCAAGGTGCCCATGGGGGACAGGCGGCTTCCCAGGTGCCTGGTGACTTGGGGCAAGTCTCTGCACCTTCTCTGCTCTAAGAAGGGTCTGGGGTGGCTGGGGTGGCCCAGTGAGTGACTCTGGGTCCCCCGCAGAGGATCAAGGAGGGCAGCATCATTAACAGAATCGAAGCCGTGTGCGTGGGTGACAGCATCGAAGCCATCAACGACCACTCGATCGTGGGCTGCCGCCACTACGAGGTGGCCAAGATGCTCCGGGAGCTGCCCAAGGCCCAGCCCTTCACCCTGCGCCTGGTGCAGCCCAAGAGAGCCTTCGGTGAGAGTCCCGGGGCCCAAGCAGGTGGGGAGCTCCAGCAGAAGTAGGTTCTGTGGAGGCCTGACCAAGTGGAGGGTGGGGGGATGGGACAGAATGGAAGTTTCTAGATGCTTTTGATGACATGCCAGGGAGTTTCTGGCACTGCATCCGTAACACAGCTGTTAGATTAAGTCTGAGCAGCAGAGGAAAGTTCACGAATGTCAGAATAGAATGAGGATGCGACTCGAGCTATCTTGTGAGTTGATTTTGAGGCTATGGTTAGTTCTGGAATGACGCTTTTCAAAGAGTCTGTGACTGATTTCTGGATGAGACAGGAGCTTGCCCTGGATGCACATTCCTCACTGGTGACGTTTGAGGGTGGATGTTTCTTTGTCGTGGGGCAGGGGCACCTGAGTACGGAGGGGTGTTGAGCAGCATTCCTGGCCTCCACCCAACAGGTGCCAGTCACGTCCCCAAACATGTCTCTAAATTTTATCACTGTCCCCTGGGGGACAAAGTCACCATCCGCTCCCCCCAACTTACACACAGGTTGAAAATCTCCGCACTAGATCACCCTGGGTGAATCAGTGGGAATTTTTTTTTTATATGACCAGACTTTCTCGGGGAAGGGAGCAGCGTGTTAATTTACACTCTGGCATGAGCCCCTTATCTTAGTGTGGGCTGGGGCACTGGTGAGACTGTTCTAGAGCAGGAGGGTCTAGAGCTGCCCTGGCACATCAGGAGAGAGTTCCCAGAGAGAGTGGACAGCATGGGGGTGGCCTATGTCACAGCGGTGGACAAGAGCCATGGCTGTAAGTTAGGGAGAACCAGTTGGAGAGAAAGAATTTTTCTAAACTGCTCCTCTGACGCCAAGGAGGGTCTTCAGTAGTCTCTTCTAGAAAGAGTCATCTTGGGCCTCCCTGGTGGCACAGGGGTTAAGTCTCAGCACTATGAAGCAATCGCCAGCCACTGCAGCACGAGTTTGATCCCCGGCCAGGGAGCTGACCCACATGGTGCAGCAGACCTCTCCTGTCTCCCCGCTGCTCCCCTCAGCAGTGTTTCAGTAGATCCACCTGTTCTGCTCCCCGCGCTGTCTGGTGAATCCTCTCACCCCCTGCACCTTTGGCCTACACCGCAATTCTTGCATGCATAAATAAATAAAAATAAATAAATCTTCAGAGGAGGAAGACTTGAGATGCATTCTGGCTGGGATGGGATCGGGATGGTGGGCCTAGACCTGTTATATCGGCTTATTCCTGTCCTGGCAAGGTAGAAAGGGGTCTCTGAAGATTCACTCCACAGACACATGGAGGCCTTTGAAAGGTACGAAAGTTCAAAAAGGCTCAGCTGGTGGCTTCTGAGTGTTTACGAAGATGTGGCTCTGCCCAGAACATGTGCCCTCCCCCCGCTGTCCTTTCCAGACATGATTGGCCAGAGGAGCCGGAGCAGCAAAGGTCCCGTGGACACAAAAGTGACCAGTGGGAGGGAGACCCTGCGGCTTCGTCCTGGAGGGGCTGCCACGGTGGAGGAAGTGGTGAGTGAAGGGGGGGCCTGTTCGGGGCGCCTGCATCTGGCGCACGCTGCTGCTTCAGAGTCGCCTTGGGTAAGATCCCCTTCTGGTCCCAGCCCCCCACCCGCCCAGTGGGCACCCTTGTGAGGCAGGGTGATAGGGTGCCAGCTGAAGAAGTATTGACTCACGTGAGGCTCCAACCTGCTCTTCCCTAAGGGGTAGGGAGAAGAGGGGGGTTTGGAGAGGGCTGGAGAGATCCAAGGCCCCTGACCTCCCACTTTGCTCCCCTGTGCTCCCAGCCCAGTGAATTTGAAGAGGAGGCATCCAGGAGGGTGGACGACTTGCTGGAGAGTTACATGGGCATTCGGGACCCAGAGCTGGGTAAGGGGCCAGGGTAAGCTGGGTGGACCCCGGGGGGAGGGCAGCCACAGGGTGGAGATAGGGGCCCCAGGGGAAGCTGGACCCTGGGGAGCACCCTCACCCACTTCTCCCGCTCGGCCTGCAGCGTCCACCATGGTGGAGACGTCCAAGAAGACGGTCAGCGTCCAGGAGTTTGCGCATCACTTAGACTCCGTCTTGGGCGAGTTTGCCTTCCCGGACGAGTTTGTGGTGGAAGTGTGGGCCGCCATCGGCGAGGCCAGGGAGGCCTGTGGCTAGTCTGCCCCGGAGCTGAACGCAGCCCCAGCCCAGAGCCCAGCCCTCTGCCCCAGCCCTTCCGGCTAGTTCCAGAAGCCCAGCTCTGCTCCAGAGCCCCGCTCAGATCTGAGAGCCAGGCCTGCCCAGGAACCCCATCCAGTTCCCAAACCCAGAGTTCTTCTAGAGCTCAGGATAGCTCTAAGGCCAAGCTCACCTCTAGAACCCCGTCCAGTTCTGAGTCCCAAGCCAGCCCCCAAACCCAGCCATCCTCTAGAATCCTGGACCCCTCTGAGGCTAAGTCTAGCTCCAGAGCTCAGACCAGCTCTGAGATCGAATTCACCTCTAGAGCCCAATTCAGTTCCCAGTCCAAGCCTGGCTCTGAGGTCAAGTCTGATTCTCGAACCCAGCCCAGCTCTGAGACCAAGCCTGGAGCCCAGCTTAGCTCTGAAACCAAGCCCAACTCTGAGACCAAGTCCTGTTCTAAATCTCAGCTCAGTGCTGAGACCAAGCCCTGCTCTAGAATCCAGGCCAGCCCTGACACTAAGTTTATCTCTAGACCCCACTCTAGTCCTGAGACCCAACTGAGTTCTAGAACCCAGCCCAGTTCCCAACCCCAGACCTCCCCTAAAACCCAGAAAATCTCTGAGGCTAAGCCAAATTCTGATATCAAGTCAAGTTCTGGAACCCAGACACAATCTATAACCAAGTCCTGCCTTAAAACTCAACCTGACTCTGGAACTCAAGACAGCTCCATGACATGGCCATCCCCAGACACCCAGCCCAGTTTAGGAATGCCAGTTAGCTCTGGAGTCCAAGCAACACTCAAGCAGCAGCCCAGTTACAGAAATCAAACCAGCTCAGCATCCAAAAAGGACTCACAACCCAAAACCTATCCACAAACCCAGAACAGCTCAGGAGCCCAGGTGCATGCTGTTCCCCACTCCAGACCCAGATCCCAGCTTTGCTCTAAAACCCAGTTGCATTCAAGTACCCAACCCCATCATGAGGTTCACTCCAGCTCAAGTGATGATCCTAGCTCAGAATCTGAGTCCAGCTCTACATCTAGGTCTAATGCTACAGCCAGGACTATCTCCAGAATTCAGACACATCCTGAAATTCCATCCATCTCTGAAGTAAGACCTGCCTCTAGAGCTCAGCTTGATGCTGAACCTCATTACCTCTCTAGAACACAGACTAGCTCTGGCACCCAGACCAACAATAAGGATTGGCCAAGTTCTAGAGCTCAGTCCAGCTCAAGCACCCCACCCAGCTCCAGGACTCAGCTCAATTCTGGAGCACAGACTGACTCTGAAATCCCAACCAGCTCCAAAACACCATCAGTTGCTGAGGCCCAGTTGAGTTCTAGAACACAACTGAACTCTGGAATCCAATCTAGTCCTGGAACTCGGACCCAGGCAACAAAAGGCTTAAGATCCACAATTGTGTCTAGACTTGAGAGCAGGCTCAGCTTTGAGACCCAACCATGCTCAGAAACTCAGCCCACCTCTGGGACATGGATCATCTCAAAAACCATGCCAAGTTCTAGAGATCAGATCCTGGTCACAACCCGAGATAGGTCTGGTATTGAGCCAGACTTTGGGAAGCAGAGCAGCTCTGGAACTCAGCTCATCTCTAGAGTCCAGCCCAGCTCTGAGACCCAGACCAGTACAAGAATCCAACCCAGCCCTGGAGCCCAGGTTAGCTCCAGAATCCAGTCTAGCTCTGAGACTCAGCTGAGTTCTAGAACCCAGTCCAGTCCCAGGATTCAGCTGGGCTCTGAGACTCAGCCTAGCTCCAGAATGCAGGCCAGTAACAGAATTCAGTTAAGCTTTGTGTCTCAACCCATCTCTGTAGTGCATCTTAGCTCTAGAAACCAGTCCAACTCTGAGACCCAACTTAGCTCTGAGACTCAGCCTGACTCTGGAACACAGACCAGTATAAAAACTCAGCTCAGCTCTGGAACTCACTTTAGCTCATGAATTCAGCCTGCTTCTGGAGTGCAATCCAGCTCCAGAACACAGACCAGCTCCAGAATCCAGCTCAGCTCTAAAAATGGACTCCACCCACAGACCCCTTTGACCCTAGAACCCAATCTGATCCCACTCTCCCAAGCCAACCTCAGAACCCAGGTCCTCCACCCAGAGCTTCAACCCCAGTTTCCAGCAAAATCTCTGGACCTCAACCCCAGCCCCAAGATCTGGTACATGGAACCTTGACCAGTCCTGAATCGGGGGAATCCAACTGGCTTGCCACCTGACCCCAAAGCCACAGGTCCCTGCAGCCCCCCAGAAGCCAGCTGGGACGCAGCTGGGACCCCAGAAGTCCAGCCAGCCCACCATATCTGCCATCCCTAATTTTGCACCCAGGGTGTCCCTCTTGTGTTCCCAGATGCCTGAACCCCCAGCTCAGGGACCTGGTAGCTCTGGTCCTGAGCCAGACTTTGGGAGGCAGACAGCTCCCTCCTCCTCCTCAGGGAGTCAGAGCCCCTCCCCCACCATGGGTGCGGGCTGTAGCTTGGGGCTGATGTAGTTCTGACCCTGTGGTCCCCATCCCGTCTTGCCCCCCCCCCCAACCTGGGTGCCCTAGAAGCAGCATGTGACTTTATTCCCCCAGGTGGGAGGGGGGTGGAAACAGTGGCTTCAGTTTCATGGGGCCTGGCTCTGGGAGGTGTAAGCAGATCCCAGGTCTGTGGAGGGGGAGGGGGCAGGAGATGGTTTGCTCCTCAGGTACCTCCAGGGCTCATGGGGAATAAAAGCATCTTCTACACTCACAGCTTGTTGTCATTTGGTGGGGAGTTTGGGAGAGAGCAAAGGACAGGGCGGGCATGGGGCCTGGGGGCTGACTTGGACACACTAAGTGCCAATTAAGCTCCTACTATGTGTCAGCCACTTCATTAAGTGCTAACAGTGCTGGCACTCACACTCTGCAGCTCTGTGGGGCTACACGGAATCTCGGGGGTCCATCTGGTCTTCAATCTTTATTGAGCACCTACTCGGCTCAGACAGACGCTGTCCCATTTAGTGGGGAGTAGCAAGTGCTGTTGAGTGAAGGAAAGGCTTACGAGGGCTCTCCTTGGTATTTATTCCTTTACAACAAAGTGGGTTTACTGCCAGAACCCTTCCCGTGGGGATGTAGGGAGAATTCCACGTGATCACACTGTGAAGGGCTTGGTAAAGCCAGCAAGGGAGGTGGGGAGGGACTGCAACCAAGTACCGCCCGCGTCCCCAACACACACCCCAACAGCCCAGCCCTGCTCACCACTGCAGCCAATTAGACAGCAACCTGACACCCCAAATGTCAGCGATCAGCCCAAAGGAAAATCAAGCCGGGTGGAGAGAGATTTTGGCAAGAAAGGCAGTGTCCTGCCCATGCATGTCCGGTCTCGAGACAGCCTTCTTGGGTTGGGGAGCAATATTTACGAGTCAAAGTCCCCCCATTTCTGGAAGATTTCTAGAAGGGGAGGCTGTTGCCTCGGAGCTCCCAAGGCTGATTTCCTCCAGACACCCTCCCAACACCCCCACATACTCTACCTGGGGTTGGGGGGTTGAGAGGAGGAAGGGCTTTGGAAAGGGGGTAAGGGAAGATCTGGGGAGTCCTCAGGGCTGCTGGAAGACAGCCCACGATCTTGCTTCTTAAAGTCTTTGTCCATCGGTCCAGTCATTCCTGGAACTTCAGAACCAGCTGATGTGACCGTTAGGGAGGAACAAGGGCTAATCGGGGCTAGGCTGGCACATGGACATCCTGGTGAGCTGAGGCTGGAGGGAGAGAGACCTGGGCCGGGTGCTGAGGCGAGGGTGGAGGCGCCGGATGACCGCCCGGCGAAACAGGATGTACACCCAGGGGTCCAGGATCTGGTTCCAGGTGGCCACGCGCAGGTAGATGAGGAGCTGCCGCTCGACGGATCGGGGCAGCTGCCTGTTCGGGCTCATGGCGGGCGGGCTCTGCAGCACAGTCTGGGCGATGAAGACCTGTGGGGACCCAGAGCGTTAGATGGGGCCAGGCAGGCCTGCCCCCTCCACCAGCACCGGCCCAGGTCACCTGTGGTTCCCTGAGACCCATGGTCACTTCCATCACTGCTTTGCTGTGTGACCTCGGGAGAGCTGCCTGACCTCTCTGACCTTCCAATGATGTTTCCTGCCTCTTTCCTGGGCATCGTTAAATATGGTGGAAAAGAAAACTTGCAGGTATCAGAGGTTACTGGCAGATGTTACTGCCATCACTATCATTCTATTAAACACGTCCAATTTTAGAAAAGTTTAATATAATATTACAGTAAATTACATTGAATAATGTGATTGTATACTATAAATACATTGTATCTACAATTAATATTGTATAATATAAATATTTAAAGATTTATGATATTAAAATTTGTCTTCTAGTTTATAAAATATTTAATTAAGTTTTATATTTTATAAATTTTATGACAAACATACTGAATAATTCCTGTATTAATTTTTTAATATATTTATTAAATATTGGGTTCATACTTAATATTAGATGAGTAAAATATTATTTACAAATTATTTTATAGTATATAACATTATTACTTCTATAATAATTAATAGAATTGTTAGTTATAATACGTGAAATTATAATTATGTACAGTATATTGACCATTATATAATATAATGCAATATATTAATTAGCTATGTGAATTAATGTCAATTATATGGACTATATTATACACTTGATACGATTATTAAATATTGAAAACAACATGGTAAAAATATATTATATATAATGTGTATTATCTTTTTAAATGTGTTAAATATAATTGAAACTCATTATACTAAATGTAGCATATTAAAATACTATTATATGAAAATTAAATATTACATTAAAATTATGTTAAACTTGTTTCCTGAGCACCCCTGTGTGCTGACCACCCTGGGGACACTGTTTGGCCAAGAGAGACCCTGGTCCCACGCAAGTCTGCTCAGGGCTTGGCTGGGACACATGACCAGGTGGCTGCAGCGGGGCTGGGGACAACAGATCTGTGATGAGGGTGCATGGGCAATGCTGGGGTTCAGAGGAAGCCCTGCCGTGGCCTGGGGGAGTAGTGGAGGCTCCCAACCGCCTGGAAGGGTGTCTGTGGCCTTCCTTCCGGGGCAGTAGGGAGCCATGGGATGTAGAACACTGGCCAAATGTTTACTTAACCAATTTTTATTTTGTTGGTTTTGTTTTTCCTGTGTTGCTAAGAATATTTTTAAATGTGAAATGGTTGTAGAAAAAATGGAAAGGGCATATTTTGTGACACATAAAAGTGGCAGGAAATTCAAATCTCAGTATCCATAAATAAAATTCTGTTGGGGCCAGACACGCCCATTGCAGCTTTCACAATCAACTGCAGAGCGGAACAGCTGTAACAAAGACTTTTAAATGTTTACTTTTTGGCCTGATAAGAATAAGTTTGTGCACAAAGGAGACTCAAAACATCCAGCATTCAATGATTCCACCAGGGACAGCTTCCCTGCTTTTGTCAAGCAGATCGACTCTTAAACTTCGAAGCCCCAGCTGCCATGGTTTGGAGGGCAGGCAGGGCCCATTCTGGGTACTCCAAGGCCCGGGGAGCAGTGAGGGGAGCAGGCTGGACAGGGTGTATGTGCCCGGTGTGAGTGCTGGGGGCAGAGGCCTTCCGAGGCAGCATGAGTGTGAATCCCCACCAGGAAGCAGGCAAGGAACCAGAGCCTGGGGTGGGTCCCAGCTGTAGGGATGGGATGGTGCTTCTGAGGAAAGTGTTCCTGTCCTGTCCCTAGGTTGTCCTCCCAGACCTAGTCTTGTAGAGTCAAGAACATTTCTATATTCTTCTTCTCCATCACCACCACCACCACCATCATCATCATCATCAACATCATCATCTGGCAGCCACTAGAGGGCACCTCTGAGCACAAGCACCAGGTCCCACCAATGCCCTGCCACAGTCCTCCAGGGCTCCCACCTTCCTAAGATCAAAGCCTAAGGCCTTCCTGAGGCCCACAAGACCCATCATGACCTGCCCCTATGACCTTTCTGCCCCCACGTCCTCCCTTTCCCCCTCACTCACTCTGCTTCAGCCACATGGACCTTCTCACTGTTCCTCCCACACTCCAGCACAGGCCTACCTCAGGGCCTTTGCACTGGCTGCTCCCTCTGCCTGGATTGCTGTTCTTTCAGATCTCCGCATGCTTTACCCCCTCACTTCCTCCACGTCTTTGCTCAAATGTCCCTCAGTTTGGCAGTCCCTGATTGGGATCTGCCCCAGGGTCCTCTGGAACATCAAGAATAGGTCCTGTTTTGCCTTAAACTCTTGGAGTTGGAGCTTTAAGACATGAATAGGAGTTTAACTGCTAGACAAAATGGGGAAAGCATCCTAGCTAGAATCGCTGAATGATTAAATGATTCCTGAGTCTCCTTTGGTGGGAAACTTTTTCTCAAAGAGACACACAGTAAATATTTTAATAGCCCATCATAACTGCCCAACACTACCTCGGTAGCGGAAGCTACATGGGAACCAGTAGGAGTAGTTGTGTTCTAAGAGGACTTAATTTTTGGATGAGGAAATTTGAATTTCAAGCCATTTTCATATGTCACAAAATATGCTTCTACTTCTCTGACCATTTATACATGTTAAAACATTCTCAGCAAAACAAAGTAAAACAGAATTTGCAGCCTTCCCATCCCACGGGTTTAGTTTTTGTCCCAGCCCTGTTGCTTTCTAGTATCTACCATTTCCCCTATTTATTGACTGGCTTCCCCACTGCCTAGGAATTCCAGGAAGTGAAACATTTTAGTCAGTTTTGTTCCTGTGCTGTGTCCTCAGTGTCTAGACCAGGTTTGGAACACAGCAGTCATTCAAAGTTTGTTGAAGGAACAAATGAATAAACAAGTTCATTTCTTTCTTAAAACTATGCTGAGAGACAAAAATCTTTTAAATCCCTGTAATCAGAGAGGATAGAGGAGGGGAACTCATCGCAGGCGCAGTAACACAACAAGTCCTTGTTTGGCATGAAGTGTCCAATTCCATACTCATCCCCACCCAATCAAAAATGAAAAAAAAACAAACATGCTAAGTACCCTTTAAGAAGGGAAAATCTAGCCAGGGCTAGGGGTCCAGTCCAGACAGACTAAGCACAATACGGATTCAGGAGCTTTTTAATAAATCAGTGTTTCTACCTAGAATGCCTTCACTGGTTTTGGCAAGCAAGCAAACTCCTATTCATCCTGCAAAGCCTCAGCTTCAATGCCCCTCCTCTGGAAAAGCTTCCACATACCCAGATGGAGCTTTGGTGTCCATTTCTGAATCACCCACTCCCAGGACACTGCCTCTGCCTCCGTCCTGAACCCAACATTTTGAGCTTGTGTCTTGCCCATGAACTCAAGGAAGGACACTTGAATACGTGGTGTCTGCTTACCTTATGAGAACCTGGGTATTTAAATTCATATTGGGTGAACCAAGAACCAGTTACCAAGGGTGGCAGGAATCCCCAACTCACCCCCTACTAGCCACTCACCAGCAATGGCATCCAACAGATGCTGGCCACCACCATGATGCCCATAAGCTGAGCCATCATCTCAACCTCGCAGTCCCGTGGGCGCTGCTGGGCGGCCTCCTGCCCGTGGTAGACATGGCACAGGGTGGCCACACTGATGGTGTTGAGCACAAAGGACAGGCCTACCGAGAGGCTGCCCAGGAATGCAAACAACAGCCCAAAGACGATGTCTCCTGACTCAGAGCCGAGTGTGAGGAAGCACCAAGAGCCTGGGTACTGCACAGTGTAGCGGCCTACACCCAGCAGCGGCAGCAGGCCCAGCGCCAGGGCCACGGCCCACACCAGCCCCACTGTGGCCCAGGCCCGGCGCTGTGAGCTGGCCACAGGGCGGGAGAAAGGCTGGGTGATGCCCAGGTAGCGCTCCGAGGCCATGGTGGCTCCTAACAAGAGCGGGGACAGGCCAAAGAAGACCATGACGACGCCCATGAAGTGGCAGAGGCTGCAGCCAGCTTTCCATTCGAGGAGCACAGCGTGCTGGGACACCACGATGGCCCCGGTGATCAGCAGCCCCAGGAAATCGGTGAGGACCAAGCCACAGAGGAAGGTGAGGAAGGAGGAACGCGTGTACGAGCTGCCTTGCCGTGCTCTGACCAGGACGTTCAAGGCCAGCAGGTTGGAGGCCAGGCCCACCAGGCAGAAGGAGGCGGCGAACCAGGGAGAGGCAATCAGGCTCCGCTCCTCCTCGGTGATGTTCATCAGCTGGAAACAGGTACTGTCATTGGACCCCATGGCTCTGGCGACAAACTGGGGGCGGGGTGGTCACCACCCCATCAGGCGGAGGCTGCAGGCAGTGGGGCTGCCGGCAGTGGCAACAGCACAGATGCACCTGGAGCGGGGAGGGCAGAGAGAAGACTTGCTGGTAATTTGTTCCGCAGTGTGGTCTGAGTGGGTCTGGTGAACTCCAGCTCAACCTTCAGAGTCCCAGCAAAATTACCCTCTCCTTGAGGAGACCTTTCCTGATAGGCACTTGCCACTTAGTACTTAGAAGCAATACGATCACGGCCTCCAGCTGTGTCCCACCCCAGAACCAGTGCCCTTCATGGGCAAAGACAAGGGCTGTCTCCCCTCCGAGCCCTGGAGGACACCAAGAGCTATTTGTCAGATGACAGAGAAGGGAGCGAAGCCCTGGGTTTGAAGCCCAGCGCTGGTGTACCCCGTGTGGCCCCAGGCAAGTGATTCCTGTTCTCTGACCTCCTGCTTCCTGTTGGCACCCCCAGACCCTGCGGACAGCAGACTGCAGGGCGCAGCCCGCACCGTGACAGGGCGGGCCTGTGTGGTGGGGGCAGCTGGCTGTCGGCAGAGGTTGCGGCTCTGGGCCTGCTCCAAGGTCAACCTCAGAAGTTACATTTCTTTTAATTTGTGTGTGTGTGGGTGGGGGCAGAGCCCATTGGTGTTTGGGGGGGTCCTACATGGGAGACATCTGTATCCTTCACACAGGCAGGCATCACGCAGAACCCCTGCTCCCATTTCCATGGCATCACTTCTCTAACAAGAAATAAACCCAGAAACCCAGCGCCTCTCTGGAAACCAAAAACAGCTCCTTTGGAGTGACAGGTCCCCAGGGGACAGGCTATAAACAGCAGCGGGGGCAACTGCTGCCCGGAGCGGAGCGCTGGGCTAGGGGAGAAATCTGGAGGGACAGCTCGGCCTGGGTGCCCTGGGAGGGGATGCTCCACCCTGGGTAAGCTGCACCCAGATGTGCCCGTTGAAAGGAGCGAGACCAGTCACAGGCCAGCCCAGCTCCCAAAAAGGACACGGCAGGACGAGAGGCCACAGGGGCCGGTGCCAGCACCCCAGCCCACCTGGGCACACGCCAGCGTCCCGCGTGGCAGTGAGGGGCATCAGGTGGAGGCGTTGGGACGGGCAGGGTGGGAAGGCAGGGCTGTGGGGACACAAAGGCACCAGGTAGCTAAAGCCCATGAAAGTCCTATAGGGCCCCCATTTTGCTGAGGGGGAGAAAAAGGCCCAGGGAGGTTAAATGACTCGCCCGAGGTCACGTCGCCAGCCAGAGCTGATCTGAGATTTAAACTCAGGCCTCGTCACATGCAGATGCGTGGAAACGCCGAGAAGCCCGCCGGCCAGCGAGGAGCATAGCAGTCTTTGGAATTTTCTTTAAAGAAGGAGAGAATTTGCTAAAAGGTCAGACCAGAGTTAAGTCCTGACTTTGCCATGTGACCTGGCACAGCGCGTCCCTGCTCTTTGCCTCGGTGTCTTCCTGCGTGGCTCGGGGTGGTGCTCGTGGCTCTGGCACGGGGGATGTTGTGGCCCTGCCCCTGCCGTGGACGTGGGGGTGACTGCCACCCTTGCCCCTAATCTTGGTACTCGGCGCCTTGCCCAGGTCCCTTGGCTCCTCAGTGAGCCTCATAAATGACCCAGCTCCGAACAGCGGCTCCGGATTCTCCCCAGGCCACTGTCACCTGGGTGGGGTGGGGCCTGGAGGGGGGAAACCGAGGCCGGGGGAGGTGGGGGGCTTTCCTTGGTCCTGGGTGACGGGACCGCCGTGCTCCCCTCGAGCCACTTCAGCTTAGCGTGCTTGGGCTCCTCCAGGGGCCAGGCGTGCCCTCCCCGGGGACCTGGCATGTGCTGTTTCTGAGCATTCCTGGGGACTCGGGCTGTTCCTGCGGCCACCGCCCCAACCTGGCCTCAGCCTGGAGCGACCCCTGCCCCTCTGGGTCTCTCCATCCCTTGTTGGCCTGCCTCATGCACCCCTCAGCCGCCCAGAGACACGCCCCTGACCTCACATGTCTGGGGAAAACCCAGTGACGTAGAGCCCTTGGCCTGAGGGGACGGGAAACAGGCAAGACTCCCTCTGGCCATAGCTCGGCCCTCCAGTCCCCCCACCATGGCTTCAGGTGATAGCCGAGGTCACAGGTTCCCAGGCAGACCAGCCAGGTGGCAAAGCTCCTTTTCCCTCTCACAGGGGTCGGGGGGGACCATCCTCACCCCAGCCTGGGGTCCAGAAGCAGCGTCGTGTCCTTGGCAACCCACCTCTCTGTCTCCCTCACGGGACAAACCCAGAATTCTGTGACCCAGGAGTGGGGAGGTTTGAACTTTGAGGGCCCAAGTTTCTGGAATCCTGATGAGCTCTGGCTCTAGAAGCGAGAAGACCTATAGAATTCCCAGGGGCTGGGGTTCCAGAAATCTCCATCTAGGGCCCTGACTCCTCTCTGGAGGATGGAGTCCGGGCCGGCCGGGGCAGAGGGCCGGAGCCCCACCCACGCGGTGATGGAGCGTGATCCTTGGTTCTCAAACCCCAGCCCCTCCTCTGGCCTCGTCAGCTGTTGCGGCCGACGCGCCTCCTCCCGCCAGCATGAGCATCCATGTCTCACCACGTCCCTCTGCCACTCAACACACTACCCCGGCTCCCTGGCTCCCGGGGCCTTCATCCTGAGCCCACCCAGCTGGCAACGGGAGGAGGGTCCCTGGCCTCAGACCCAGGCTGGGATCCCCGCTCCGCCCCTGCATGCTGGGAGCCCAACCTGCCCCCCGGGGCCGTGCCTCGGCCGAACCTACTGCCTTCGGTGCCCTTCCTGCCTCTGGCTGGGCTCACAGGAGCCCGATGCCCTGGTGACCCCAGTGTGCTCCCGTGTTTCCTAAGTTCTTTGACTGCTGTCCAGGCAGCCAAAGAAGACACTGGCAGGAACAGAGGGATCAAGCCTGGACTGGCCCACACCAGTGCAGAGCCACGGGCCCACAGGCATGAGGCCCCACACCCCTGTGTGGGCACAGATACCCACTCCCACACGTGCACGCGCGCGCGCACACACACACACACACACACACACAGGGCCACAGTGGGTCTCCAGGCCTCCAAAGTAGGGCTCAATTTCCGGGAACTTTTCCTGTTTGTGACATCACCAGGGCCCCATCTCAGATGGTGCTGAGCAGGGGTTCAAGAGTCAGCCAGAGTCAGGTGGATCCTCATGCCCCCCCACTCCCACGTAGCCCGTTTTCTGAGCCTCAGTTTTCCCACCTGTCCACGGGGTGCCCTCCCAGGGTTCGCAGCTCAGGTCTGCAGGGAGGGCTGCACCAACAGGCAGGTGTGAGGCCAGGCCGTGTTGCTGGCGTGATGGACACGGTTACAGAGACCACACAGGCCAAGGCTCAGCATTGAGTGTGCACGCACAGACACCCGGCGGGCCAGACACACAGACCGAAAATCAGACACACAGCCGGAGACACAGACACACAGAACACGACCAATCACGCACACAGACGCGCAGAAAATCAGACACGCTTAGACACACACAGATCGGCCCGAGGCTGCCTCGCGGACTCACAACCAATCAGACACACCTGCTCACAGCCCCGCACTCGGCTCGCCCCGCGCCCCCGCTGGTGGCACCACGGCCGGGGCACCGGCTTCCGGCTGCCGGGCCGCTCCCGCAGGACACGCCCCCGGTACCTGCGCCGGCAGCCCCGCCCGGAGCCGGCGCGCCCTCACCTGAGCCGACGGCTGCGTGGGGACCCGCGCGCGGGGCCGGAGTCGGGGGCCGGGCCGAGCTGCCGGGCCCCGGCGCCCCCGGGGCGGGTCACGCAGGGGCGGGCGCTCGGGAGCCCCCCGCGCTGCCACGTCGCGGGCGCCGGAGGGAGGATGCGGCACAGGAAGCCCCGGGCCGGGGCGCGGCGGAAGGAGGGACAGGACCCTGCCCGGCCCCGGGGGCCCCGCGGGGCTGGGAACCGCTTGGGGAGAGGGCTCCGCTCGGCGGCCCTGCCGTTGGTCTGTCCTTGTCTGTCTGTCTCCCTCTGTTTCTTATCAGCTCCGCCCCGCCGCGCCGGCCACGCCCCTCAGCCCGGGGTCGAACCCGCCAGGGTCTGTGGGTGGGGGTCCCCCAGTCCTCAGGGGAGGCCCCGCGGCCCCTGGGGTAGGGGACGCCCGTCGGCCGCCGGGGACAGGGGTTTGGTGGCTGGGAGACCCCCCTCCCCTTACCCCGCTGACGGCCCCCTGTGACTCGCCGCCAGGCCTCGCGTTATTCACCGTCTGGGCAGCACCCAAGGCCAGAGGGGACTGGCAGCGTCAGCTCCCTAGGGGTGTCCAGACCTTGGCATAGGGGCTCAGGGCTCGGAGCCGGCACCAGGAGGTGCTTAATCACATAGGGTCTGTGTGAGACCCGCGTGTGAGCTGGGGAGAGGGGGGTGCAGGGGTATTTAAAGGGGAGGAGCCATCGGGCCCCGGTGGGGATCCCCACCACTCCCACGGGCCCCCTCCGGCCCGGGAAGGGTCCTGCTCCTCCTTCTGCCTGGGCCCCGGGCGTGGACTGACTCTGAGGTGGCTTAGGGGACAGGGAGGAAAAGCCCCTAGCTGAAGCCTGCGGCGGGGTGGGGACGCGCCCGCCTCCTTGCCTCAGCACAGGGAAGGGTGCCCAGAGCCTGTCAGCCAGGGGTGATTCAGAGGTTCGGGCCTGGGTGCTGAAAACGGGGGCTGAGCTCCCAGAGAGGTGGGTTTCCTTGAAAGCCCCCAGACTCACTCCTGGCTCTGGGTCAGTCTTATCAGCCCAAAGCCGTGCCAGCTGAGGGTGATGCACTTGAGCAAGGCCAGAGCAAAGGCAGGAGGCTCTATGGTGCTACAGAAAGTGAGAAGCTTCTTAAAGGGTCCTTCCTGCCCACGGCCCTTGGGGCCCAGGATGGGCCAGGAGCCCAGGCTCTGAGGGAGGAAGGTGAATTCTTGTCCTGGCCCTGTACTTCTCAGGAAGCCCCTTCTCTGGCTTCCACACCCACCGTCCTTCCGACTGCTTTAAATGGCCCCTCCCCCCTTCCATCCCATTGTTGGGAGTTTCCCAACTGTTTAACCCTATCTCCTCTTTCCTTGCCAAAGTATCTCCCCAACTCCTATGCATACAACAGAGCACTGGCCTTGATCTCCCAGGCAGTCTTTTTTTTTTTTTTTTTTTTTTTTTTTTTTAATAGAGGCATGCTTTATTTATTTGTTTGCTGGTTTGTTTGTTTGTTTTTTGTTTATACATGCACTGGGTACAGTCAGAAGCGCGGGAGGGTGAGAGAATCCACCAGAGCCAGAGCGGGGAGCAGAGCAGGCAGAAGGACCGAAGTACGCTGCTGAGGGGAGCAGCGGGCGGCAGGAGAGGTCTGCGCGCCATGTGGGACCCTCCTCAGGTGGCCGGGGAGCAGCCGGGGATCGAACTGGTGCCGCAGAGGCTGCGGGCAGCTTCGCAACCCAGCGCTCAACCGCTGCGCCACTGGGGAGGCCCTCCCAGGCAGTCTTATTCCCCACTAATACCTCCTCAGCTGCAGCTCTGTGTATGTGGCAGGACAATTCTGAGCCCTAGGTAGGACTGGAAACCAGGTTTGAGGAAATGACAGGGCTGAGTGAAGCCCAGAAGGTAAGCCAGGCAGCTGTTCTGTGGGGAGGCTCATGGAAACTAGGGCTTTGTGGGATGAGTAGGAGTTCCCCAAGTCCAAGCGACATGGTTGTGGCGGAAATTACATATGCAAAATGTTGGAGGCGAGAGAGCATGAGGCTTTGGGGAACAATATTTAAGGAGGGCAGATGTGGTGGGAAGAGGATGTAGGTTTGGGCTCCAGTTGGGGATGGTGAGAGCTAGAGGGAAACTTCCCACTTCCTCTGCCCATAGATAAGGGGGACAGTGTTTGTTTTGGGAAACAGCCAGGGCAGGGGTCAGAGAGTTCTCTTGACTTGCATTTTGTCTTGGTCTCACCACAATTCTGCAAATGCAGGTCATGTAGATACTCTGTATACAGGGAAACTGAGGTCCAGAGGGAAGACATGATGACCAAGGCCAAGACCTTGAACATGAGCTCCCGGTGGTCACCACCTTCTGGACTCTATTCCTCACCCCACCCCCCTTGCTTAATGGGTGCATAGAAAGCTTGGGAGGGGTTGAGATGGTCTGGGGGGCCAGATGGTGGGAACAGAGGCCACTCTCAGGATGTACCCCCCGTGGCTGTGGTTTCCTGTGGGGGCCATGCAGGGAGCATCTATTCTTAGCTTGGGACATAGCCAAGGGCAGGAAGAGGATGGGGTGGGGTTTGGAAGAGGTTGCGTGGGGGTTGGGGGCAGCTTAAGAGACACTGGGTGGGCCTCAGGCCAGGGTGGGCTCATGGAGCAGCTGGTGGTCCTGTTCCATCTCTAGTCTGTCTGAGGGCAGACACTCTGTCTGCTTCCCCCTGTCTGCTTCACTCATCCTCTGTGGCTCCCCAGGGCTCTGCACAGTTAGGCCCCTGGACGCCTGCCCTGGGACACCTGCCGCCTTCTGTTCCAAGGCAGGCTCCCCTCTGCATTTCTGCCCAGCACCCCCATCCTTCCAGGCCCTTTTCCAGGGAAACTTCCCAGTTCTTCTGAGATCCCCCAGACCCAGTGCCTCCCCTACCCCAGCCTGACCTCTTGGTGCAGCTCTCCTCCCTTGAGACTGGGGGCTCCTGGCTAAACATGCACCCAGCAATTCAGGACAGCCGCCTCCTTTGGGTAGATGCCCTGCTGGACTACAGAGGAGATGCAGAGGCGCTAGGAAGACTCCCCTGGGGCAAGGGGGGGAACAGAAGCTGGGACATGGCGGCCCGGGAGGTCATCTCCATGATGGAGAAACCTGGGTCCTAACCTGATCGCTACTCTACAGGCTTCAAAGTGTGGGCCTGTGAGATTCACTGTGAACCTCAGGAAATGGGTATGAACGTTTTATCTATCCGTGCTGTGAACAGACCACCGCCACACCCATCTCGTGACCAAGCACCAGGCTGGCTCCAAAGTGCCGCCCAGGCCTGTCCCAGAGAGACCTGGGGATTGAGTATGCTGGCGACCAGCAATTGATTAGTGATGTTTGTCACAGGGGCCAAAGGGCAAGGTTATGTCTGTGTTGCCACGATGCTTTTTTTTTTTTTTTTTGCTGGGACTCTCGCTTGCGGCCGGGGAACGAACCGGCGCTGCAGAGGCTGCGGGCAGCCTCACAACCCAGCTCTCAACCGCTGCGCCACCAGGGGAGGCCCCATTATGTACTTTCTTAATCCTGGATCAAGTTGGCCCGGGTCTGCAGTGTGGAGAGCTGCCCCTGGCCAAGCCCTGTCGTCTAGAATAGGGCCACTTCCTTGTGAGAGGTGGGGCAGGGCAAAATGGAGGCCTAAGCTGTAGCAGGGAAACCTGGGATGCCTCAGGTCAGGGCTGGGAGGCGACCAGCGGCCTATGGAGTCCCTCTCAGCACTGCTAACACAGAAACTAGACTCGCACTGTGGGGGTGTGCAGCAGCACCCCTGACCTTACCCACCGGGTGCCCACAGCACCTCCAGGTGCAACAGTGAGAAATGTCCCAGTGTAGTCTGTGGGTGACCCTTGGCCCAGGCGTGCAGCTCCTTGGCGCCCAGCCGTTATCCGTATCAGGAGCAGACGGTGCTCTCTGTGGGGGAGGTGAGACCAAGGAGGGGCAAAGATCGAGAAAGTCATGGTGGCAAACGACTTTCTAACGAAACCACTGCTAAGTATTTTTAGGTGTGGTGTTTGTCTTCAGAAGTTCTTCTCGGTTCAGTTCAGCGCTCAGCGGCCACATGGGCGCTGTGGTCACACACGATGCAGACAGCGGGGACGCTGGGTGTGGGAAGCCTCGCTGTGTGCCATTTCTGAAAATCTGAAATTACTCTAAAATAAAGTGTTTATTAAAAAAACATGCACTCACCAGTAGGCCAATTAAATGAAAATATGATTTCCCACCCCACCTAAAAAAGTCTTTTTAGAGAAACAACCTAAAATATTTCCAGATGAAATCTGGGTTCCGGGCGGCACTTCAGGTCTGACGTAGGATTCTTCCCACTTTTGGTTGGAATTGTCTCTGTAATAAAATGTTAGAAGTTTGTTTCTGGGGTTGTCCTGCCCGAGGGGTGGCTGACAGTCCATGACAGTGGCTCTGCCTGTCTGGCTGACTGTCTAGCTGAGATGAGGGGGCAGCTCCATGGTGGCCGGGAGGCAGCCTGAGGAATGTGGCTGTGCTGACGCAGGATGCGGGCAGACACCCTGCAGCTCTGGGACTGGTCCAGGTGGGGTACTGCAGCCTCACCCGGAGGCCAGACCCCCAGGAGTGCTGATGCTGGGTGGCCACAGGATGTTGTCTTGTGACCCTTGGGTCCTGGACCTGAAGGTGTATGATGATGTGCCCCCACCCCCCACCTGAGGGAGCCAACCCCTTGGCCAGCACCAGGGGCAACTAGGGAACCACAGAACTCAGATATCCCCTAGTTGGAACCTTCTGGAAGGGCACAGGAAAGGATCCAGGGCCCGTGGTTGCGTATTCGTGAAGGGCCCAGAGTCTGGGTTCTGTGGCCAGTGGTCACATCTAAGGGCTGGTCAACATCCTGGACTTGGGCTTCATGCCCCCTGCAAGCCTAGCGGCCCCATATCTGTACCCTGTGCCCTCTCCAGCCAATGAAGGCAGCCCCGCAGCACAGAAACCACAAGGCTGGGAGTGGAGGGGGAGGAGGCCTCAGCTCACCCATCTGGACAGAGGCCGGGGACGCTCGGTTTCTGAGCTCTGAAAACCCCACCTTCGGCCCCTCCCATAGGGCAGGACCCGGGGTCATGCATCCCCTTGGGTTCTGGTGACGACCTCTCCATGCTGGCAAACAGGAGGCCCTAAGGGGAGCCCCAGGTGTGGCGTGAACCAGCCACACCCTCGCAGGTCACCGGCGGTAGCGGTAGCGTTTGAAGTGGAACCACAACTGGAAGATGCCATTGGCGAACTGGCAGCGGAAGCCGTGGCGGTGGGAGTACTCCCACTCACGGTTGACGATCTTGAAAGCGATGTCCTCGTAGGGCGGCCCGGCGTGGAAGCGCAGCGTGGCGAAGTCCTTGTTGTCGGCGCAGGCCTCCAGGAAGTACTCGGGCGTGGAGCGCTTGTCGATGAGATCGGGGTAGAAGATGTTGAACTTGTAGCCCTGCACGATCTTGGGTGGCGGGTTGTCGAAGTCGTAGTGCGTCTGGTTGTACTTGTTCCACTCGAAGCCCGTGTGCACACGGTTGAAGAATCGTGGCTTGCGCGGCCGGTACTTGTCTGCCCACAGGTAGGCCTTGCCCGTCAGCGGCATCTCCACGCTGAACTGCGCCTCGTCCTGGCCCATGCCCTCCCTGGCCCGCCGGAAGAAGATGTCCTCAGCGCTCTCGCTGGCGTCACCTGTGGGCCGGGGCATGCATCAGCCTGGGTCTGGCCCCGCAGGATCCCACCGCCCACTCTACAGTGGGCAAGACGGTCACACCCGCGTCTTGGGGGCCAACCCCTAAATGAATATGTGGGTGCGCAGGTGACTGCATGGAGGCGCAGGGGACCCGAGGGGGAGGATGGGGGCCGGCTCATCATGCCCCCTTCGCCCAGGGCCCACCCAATACCTGTGACCTGGAGCTGCTGCCGCGACAGGTGCAGGCGCTGCAGGTCCTCATCTGGCTCCAGCACATGGGCGTCCAGCGGCAGCTCGTGGGCCGTGAGCAGCCGGGGGCTGTATTTGCCTGCGTCGTAGTCATCCAGGCTCTGCTGGATCAGGTCCTCCTCCATGAGCACGGCCTCCCCGTCCGCCTCGCCCTCAGCTGGGGCTGTTCCTTCTGCCTCTGGCTCTGGGGGGCCGCCCTCTGAGGGCCCGGGTGGGGTTGGGGCTGGCTCCTCAGGCTCCAGGCTGCAGACCAGAGGAAGGGTGGGTGGCTGCCGGGGGCCCCTGCAGAGGCTGGGGAACCCGGACGGGGTGGGAGTGGGCCAGGGCATGGCCTACCTGTGTCCAGGAGACTGGGGCTCCTGCTTGAGGATGGGGAACAGTGGCTCACTCTCCACCCCCTGCTCCTGTTTCAGCTTATACAGCTTCTGCCGCAGCACGTCCTGGTGCCGCTCCCGAAGCCTGAATCAAAGCGCAGGAGTCACTTCCACAGGCGACACTCAGAGAGGGGCCCTGCCACCATCACCCCACACCCTCTTTGGCTTCACAAGACCCTCCTTTTGCTGTGAGGTAGAAGGGCAGCAAGCCATGGCGCTAGCTGGGGTTGCTGCCCAGCTGTGGCTAGTCCAAGGTCAAGATTCTGGTCACAAGGAAACTGACTTGGAGACATGGGGTCATGGACTCAAGAAATGGCCCCTGGCTGTACACGGGTATCCCTAAGCGGGTGAGGCCTACGGGGCAGGCCAAGCCAGATGCAGGGCTGGCAAGGAGGGGAGAAATTCAGAGGCATTTACACAGGCCCCGTGTTTACACAGTGGTGCCAAGCATGCTGAGAATGTGTACACAGAGTGGGGGCCAGCGGCCCTGGACTTCCTGTGATGCCTGCTGACAGGGAAACAAAGGCCTGGCTAGGAGAAAAGGACAACTGCTAACGGCCAGCTCCACCTGGCCCCTGACTCCTGGTAAGGAGCATGGGAACATGGTAGGGGCTTTAGGGAAGACAAAAATCTGTGGGACTCTAGGGTTAGTCAGGGGCAGCTCCCGGTGACATGGCTCCTGGCTCCCGGGTGAGCTCCCAAGAGGGGCTAAGAGCTGCCCACTTGCTCACCTGGCTCGAGCCATGTGGGCCCGCAGCTGCTGCAGCAGGCTCTCCCAGTAGCCCATGTCCAGGTTGGGACCCCCGGCCCGGATCTTGCCCTCGATGCCCTGGAAGATGACCTGCAGCTGGCTGTACGTTTTCCCCTTGAAGACTGACTGCACATCAGAGCTGACCGAGGCGTTGACGCCTTCCCGCCTCTCACCTGCATGGAACAGGGGTGCTCAGTGCTGGCCTAGCCCTCCACCTTGCCTCCTCACCGACTTCCCAGGGTCCTGCCTTGTCCCTGGCTTCTGACTCACCCGTGACCCTGGCTGCATTATTCGAATGCACTAAGTTGGCATCAGGCCTTGGACCCTGGCCCCTAAGTCTGAGGGAGGCTGGGCATGTATTTCTGGGCCTGACCTGGGGGTCTGGGAACCTTAGCATCCAGGTTCAAGTTTGAGTGCCTTGGCCCAGTACACCTTCCACTCTCTGCTGGGTCTGAACCACACGGTAGGGGACTGGATGGTTCACTCAGTAGCCAGCTATCCAAACTTCAAATCCTGCTCTGCCAGTCCCAGCTGTGAGCCTGGGTAAGTGGTTCACCCTCTCTTGGCCTCAATTTCCCCTCTGTAGACACGAGAGAGAACACATGTAGCACTTGCTGTGTATAGCATGAAGGATGCTGCTCCCAGGCACTGTGCCTGCCATTGTGTCTCTTGGGAAGTCCTGATGCTACCCCCAGGACAAACAGGCCCCCTATGTCCTACAGGAGACTCTCATGGATTCTCTCAAGGCTGGGGGCTCAGGGACCTTTCTCTCCCCTCTGGACTGTGAGGCCCCTGAGAATAGGGGCAAGATGCCCCTCCATGCTCCAGTATACCAGCCTCCTTGTTGCTCACGAGACACCAAACCCTGCTCCAGGGCCTTTGCACATGCAGTACTTGTTACCAATAACTTTCCTCTCCATCCAGTTTGCTCCCTGGATCCCACCCATCACAGGCGATCAGTGAGAATGTCCCCTGTACCAGGAAGTCCTCCCTAACCACCACATTATCCCCTTGGCCTGGATGTCCTTAGGCTTCCGGCTGTGGTTTCCCCAGCTCTGTGCTGGGCCCACAGGCAGCTGAGTGTACGCAGTTGTGAGTAAATGGAGGATAGGTAGCCAGCTTTTGCTCCCAGCTGGCTTTTCCAATGCTTCCAGGGGTCAGGTTGAGATGGACCTGAGTCCCTCCAGACACCAACCTGGGACACTAGAATCAGAGATTCTGTCCCATGCCGGGCACCTGAGCAGTCCTGGGTAGCAATGGACTCAGCAGGAGGCCCACCGGGCTGGCAGGCTGACGTAGGTCTCTTAATAGGTACAGATACATTTCGTAACCAAAACTGAATTCGGCAACAACCCCCAGGCCCATCTAAGCAGAGCCACATCCTGTGCACACAAAAACAGAAACTGGGTCTATGCTTGTTCAAAGCGACAGTTGCTGGGGAAAAAGAAAAACCCAGCCAGCCAGTCAGCTGCTCCCGTGAGAGCCAAGTGCTGCGGAACCCCGTTTGAGGAGGCCTAGGTCCGCAGGTGGCTGTGCTGGGGATGCCGCCTGAGCACTCAGCAACAAGGCCCGGGGGTCCACGTGAGGGACCACGTTTGGGAGAGGTGTTACTGCGGGGAGGACTCGCAAGCAGGCCCAATGGAGAGGGCACAGAGGCAGCTGGGACCCGCTTTCTGCTGCACAGCCCACTGAACGGTGAGAATTTCCCAGTTACAGCAACAGGAAAAAGAAAAAGAAAAGGAAACAGCCCAAATTAATTTAAAAAGAAAAAAGGACAGCGCCAGATGGGTTTCGGTTCCTGTTTTGAAAATCAATCCGAAGGGAGAAATGGGAACTCATCTTTGAGGACACCTGGAGTGACCTGGGACCCGCCCCGCCACAAGTAAGGACGCGTCGGAGAAAGGGGAGGGAGGGGCCGCAGCTACCAGGCCCCAGTGGACTTGAGATGACCGTGGACTTTACGCACTGAGAACTCTGGAAAAGGGGGCGACGGCAGCACGTCCCTCAGACTTCCCCAGACAGCTGCTGGGGCCTCGACCTCTGAAGGAAAAGGTCTAGTCCTGCCCTCGGAGTCCTGTACCCAGCCAGGCGTCGCCAGCTCCAGGAGAGCCAGAGGACATAAGAGGATTTCCTGCTTCTCCTCAGAGATTACCAGTGGACACACCCCGCTGAGAGGAGGCCTCAAACCACGGACAAGGGAGATGTGCAGTCCCGGAGAGAGGTCCCACACAGCGCAGGGAAGGCGCAGGATGGTGGCTGGGCAACAGCCGGGGCCAGCCTGCCCTCAGCGGGGGCGGGAGACACCAGGGTACCGGGTGGGGAGAGGAGGCTTGATGGGCACTTCGAGTCCGACCACCTGCAGCGTCCAGCTGGACGCCGGTTGGTGGTGGACACGTCAGCCCCACCGGAGGCACCTGACAGCTGCACCGGCCCACCCCACACTCCTCTGGTCCTGCTTGATCACCCCTCCCCTGGCCACAACCAACAAAGGGGCTGGGGCTGGACCCCGAGGAGGTGCCAACCAGGCAAGGTTCCCCACTGCTTGGTGGCCCAGACCTGTACCCCAGCCATGTTCACAGCTACCACTCTGCCAGTGGCCCCACAGCACCCCTCCAGCTAGAACTCTAGATCAGCCTCGCAGCCACCAAAGAGACATGTCCTGACCAAAGGGTGGTCCCCAGTACTCCAGAAGCACTGAGGGAAACTGACTCCATTTCAAAGACAGGAGGTAATTTCTCCTTTCCCTAAAAGCAAGCAAGGTCTCCAGATCACCGGCCCCCGCCGCCAGTGACAGGCAGACAGGCTCTGGGAGGGGAGAGCAGACCCCTGCCATGGCACATGGGCCGGGAAGTGAGACTCGGGGCTCTCAGGAGCTGATGTCATGAAAGCTGGGGGCTCAGGGAGCTGGATTAAGGGAGAGGGAGGGCAGGACTGCTACGGTTGGCTCTGCCCCCGAGGACGCCGGGTGGTCTGTGGGGCCAGGGATGCTGCCGGGAACAAAGCCTCAGAGTGACCCAGACCGGATGGCAGCGGGAGAGCTGGCTTAGTGCTCCTTCCCCTCAGCACTACATGCACACACTCATCTGAGGGAAGGAAATGTTAGTTAGAAAAGACTGTCATGTTGAATAGATGGGCGGCGTGGGTTCCTGGCCAAGTGGCGCTGGGTCCTGCTCTGAGACGGAGCTCCCAGGAAATCTTGAAGCCCAACAAGAAAGATGTGGCTGTCACCGGCTCCTCACCATGCCACTAAACGACCATTCGAAGGAAGCTAGGTCTGGATGTCTCAGCATTCTGAGACTCCAAGACCTGGGGAGTTGACAGAGTCCCCCACCATCAGGGAGCGAGCCCCGCCCTTGGCTGATGCTGTTGGTCAGAGGCCCCGAGAGGGAGAGCCAAAAGGGCAAACAACCTGCAGGTGAGGACAGGCCCTTTGGTGAGCCCAAGGCTTCCCGAGGAGTGACCTGGCCCTTAGCGCTCCCATCAGATCTGGATATGCGCCCCCAAGGGCACACCCCCTAGCATCTCTCTAGGCACCCCAACTTGGACACGCGCTGCTTTAGGTTACCTGGCCCCTTGCCCGAGGCCTCCAGTTTGCGGAGCTTGGAGATTTCATCCTCCGTGATAATGGTCATGTCCCGCCAGAAGTCTGCATTCTTGCCTTGCTCGAGCTCCATGTATACCTGGGGGCGCAGAGGGGATGGTGAAGGCTTGTCCTGGAGGTGCTGGGGGCCTGGGTGGGGGTCCGGGGGCTGATGGTACCTGGATGTCCTCAAGCAGGTCTTCCATGTCAGCCACAGTGAGCCCGTTGAGGAAGGTGTAGGGCTCGTGCATCTCCACGGCCAGGTCGTCATCCTCAGCACTGATGTACTTGGCGAGCAGGTCAATGGGCTTGGCTCGGCCATCGCGGATGCGGATCTTGGAGCTGCCAGGGGGCAGGGGCGAGGTCAGAGGCAGCGATGTCCTTCCTCCTCAGGACCCTGCCTCTGGGGATGCCAGTGCAGGAGATGGGGGGAGTTTGGATAGAGGGTAAAGGAAGGCATCCTGTAAAAGGGGGTGCTGGGTGGAGAAGCAAGACAGGCTCAGAAGCCACAGGCCAGAGAGGGCAGAGACAGGAGCACACGTAAGGTCAGGAAAGTGGGAGCGGGGCAGGGGCACGAGGCAGACGGGACCACCTCCCCCCTGTGGATGGCGCCTGAGTCCTGTGAGGCCATGGGTCAGAGGCTGCTCCTGGTCCCACCCGCGGGAGCCCTGGGCCAGCAGGCCTGGTCCCTGCACAGGACCAGTGTGGCTTACAGGCAGCAGGGCCAGGGGGCGGGGGTGGGGGAGACACTAAACATGGGCTCCTGTGCACACACAGAGGCTGGGACTCAAACACCCACTGTGCAGCCTTGGGCAACTCATGGGCCCGAGGAGCCTCTTTTTCCTGGCCCGTAAACGGCGCTAGTGGGTGAACCACTGGCATGGGCTGGGTGTGGCAAAAGGGCTCAGGTGGTCAGCACTTTAGGATCCAGCACAAGCTCCTCAGCAGATGCAGCTCCGCAATGCGGACGGAGGGGCAGTCAGATGCCTCCTCACCACACAGGCTGACGGGAGACTGGAGGGTGCAACGCACCCTCCAGAGGGGCCCCCTGGCCCCTGAAAGAGTGACTAGGGGAACCCAAAGGAAGCAGCAGATTCTAGGCAGTGGGGCCAGCAAGTAAAAAGGCCCAGGGCAGACACAGGTGCTTGGATCCAGGAGAAGGGTGGCAGAGTGAGGGGACGGAGGGTGGGGAAGGGTGCCCCCTCTCCCCAGGGTGGCCCCACACCGCAGCTTGGCCTGCTGGAGGTGGAAGTTGTCCTCCTGCTCCTCCCATGTCTTGAAGTGCTCCGCCTCCTTCTCCCGCTGCAGCATCTCCAGCTCCTGCTCGCGCATGGCCTTCTCCCGCTCCCGCTCCAGCCGCAGCTGCTTCACCTGAGGGTGCACGGGCAGGGTGGGGGCCGGGGTCTGAAAACTGCATAATGGGGGTCCCGTTGGGTCTGTCCAGCCCAACATGGGGCCATGGGGTCTCCTGGGGTCATGGGGTCTTTTTGGGCCATGGGGTCTCCTGGGGTCAAGGATCAAACTATGACTCGGGTCTGGCCCTGATCCATTGGCCGTGGACACACGGATGCCCGAGGCTTTGGTCAGACCTTGGGGCTGACGGGGCCCTCTTTCAGCCGCTCTGACGGGAGCGTTCAGAGTGAAGCTGAGAGATGGAGGGGAACAGCTTGCTGGAGACACTGAGCCCTTGGATCCGGGCCTAAGCCACTTCAGTTGGATTTTTCATGTAAGTCAGTCAGGTCCCGCTTGACTTAAGCCAGAGCGAGTGGGCCTTGAGTCCCCTTGAGGGAAGGCCTCTGACCTCATGTGGGCAACAGGGGGCACCCCCACCTTCTGCAGCTCCAGCCGATTGTCCTCCTGGATTCTCTTGTTCCGCTCCTTCAGCTCCTTCTCCTCCAGGTGACTGATTCCCTTCTTCTCCAGTGCCTGGAGGGGCCAACCACATTCCCACTGAGCAGTGATGCCTTCCTCATTGCTCTCCTTGGCACCACCCCCAGGGAGCCTGGGACACACCGTCTATGAGATGAATCAGGCCAAAGCATTTGCTCTGAAGACAGGAGAGCGAGGCTGAGAGAGCAGTAACCTACCCATGGTCACACCGCCCAGACTTGCGCTCAGAGACAGCGCCCCCTCAGAGGCACCAAAGTCAATCTGACACAGCCCAACATTACAGAGCACCCCAGCCCATGAATGAGACGTGCGCCAAGACATAGGAAAGGCAGCCACCCCAACTCTGGGGGACTCATGGGAGAACCTCGCTGAGGCCCACTCTCTGATTTCATGCTGAGGCCTAGCTGTACTGGCTACGCGGTGCCCGCACTAGTCAGAGTCCAGCAACTGCTCAGGGAGGCAGGAACAGTGAGGGAATGAGAGGCTGAAAGCACATGAGCCTCAGGTCACCAGAGCGTGGGGATAAATGGTTCTCCACACTTAGGCCCCTGGGAGTGCCACGAACACAGTCAGTGGCTCTTCCCTGTCTGCCCCACCTAAGAGGGTGCTTATGTAAAAGGCTTGGAGACCCACGTCCCCCGACATGACGTCGCAACTGCTGACTGAGCAGGGTTGAGCTCTGCACTTCCCGTCATCTCCCCCAGGCTCCCAGGATTCAAGGACCCCCTGGTACCTGGAAAATGTGCCTCCAAGGGGACATAGGGCTGCCTGGCTTAGGACCTCCTCGTGACACCGGTGCTGCTCTGGCCACTGAGGTGGGCTCACGGTACGGGCACTTTCTACCCCGTGCTGCACAGTGTAGAGCTGAGGGCCTGGGTGAGGGGGCCAGACGACCCAGTCATTCAAGAGCAGGGTGACCTTGGGCAAGCGACTCCACCCTGAGAAGGCCTCAGTGAGAGCTGACACAGACATGTGCAAAGTTCCTCGAATGACGCCCGGCACTGGGTCCACTGTCACCGCCCACTCTGGTGATCCAAGCACAAGAGATGTGACGTTGCCCGTACTGCTGACCTGTCCGGTGCCCTTCCTGCACTGGAGGCCTGAGGCTGAGCAGGGGGTTTACACCCTGTGTGCTCATCACTGGAGGGGCCAACAAAGCCCTCAGTGCAGGGTGCGCTCCCTGGGGCCAGGCCAGGCTCCCAGAAAGGCTTGTGGAGGAAACACTGAACACACACGCCTGCAAGGCCCTCACTCCGCACTTACCCAGAGCCCACCACGAGTGCGAGCAGAGCGGCCCAGTGGAACCTACAGACCGGCAGGAACTGTAAGCCTGGCCGTGTCTGGATGTCTCTGGGACACCTTTCTGGACTGCTCACTGTAAACAGCAGCTGCCACCTGCCTGCCCTGTCTTTGGTGGACTCGGCTAGTCTGGTTCTCCATAGCCTGACCCCCTGTGAGGGTTCACACAGGCCCACACCTGGCAGACACGCATCTCATCTGTTAGTAAAGTACTAGGGAGCGAGAAAGAGTATCAGGGAGCCCAAAGGGGCCAGAAAGACCTCCCAGAAGAGGACACACACCAGCTGAGACCTGAAGAATGAGCAAGAGCAGTCATGGGAGAGGCAGCGGGTCCCAGCAGATGGGGCTAAGCGCACAGGTTCCAAGGCGGGATGGGCTCCTATGTCCAGACAGCCGTGGAGAACTGCCTGGAGGCATGTGGTGAACGGGGGTACCAGCTTCTGACTGTGCCCCCCCCTCACCCCCCCGCTCAGGTGCTGTGTTGGCTTGATTTGTGTGCTCCCCTCTCCCCGTCATGATGTCCCCATCCCGCCCCTGGAAATGGTGAATGGGACTTTATTTGGAGAGAGGGTCTTTGCAGTTGTAATTAGTTGAGATCAGATTGGAGCAGGCTGGGCCCTAATGCAATGACTGGTGTCCTCAGAAGACAGACATCTGGATGCAGGGACAGAGGGGAGAAGCTGTGTGACAACAGGGGCGGGCATGGAGTGATGCAGCTCTAGGTCGAGGCTAGAAAGCACCCAGCAGGAGCTGGGAGAGGCGGGACAGGACTCTCCGCCAGAGGCTGCCGAGGGAGCATGACCAGTGACACCCTGATTTCAGGTCCCTGGCCTCTAGAACTGGGAGAGAGAAAGTGTTGCTTCAAGCCACGCACCTGAGGCTATGGCTGGCAGGTGAAGGATCGGTGTTTAATTTTCATCTTTCAAGTGAAATGACAGTGATAAACTCTGAGCCAACAGAGCAGCAATGACTGGGAAAGCCCACTTGTTGTCCACGCTGTTTGAGGTCTGGCCAGGTTTGGGCAAAGGTTCTACACAGCAGGACAGTTAATGGAATGAAAGCGGCAGAAAATGAGGCGCAGAAGTTACGTAGAAGATAAACTAAAAGGCACAGTGTCGCCTTGGAATGTTTGCTGGGAGAGCTAAGTCACACCTCTTGAAACAAGTTGTAAAAAGTGTACAAAGCAAAAGCCTTTGGAAAGGCAGGAAGGGCGGCCAATGGTGCAGACTCAGGAGGAAGCAGCATGCGCCGCACGGGGACAGCGGGCTCACCTTGTTCCAAATGAAGGTGCCCAGGAGGTTGTTGTCGCCGAAGGGGTTGTCAGTGTTGGTGTAGCCCATGTACTCCTCCCCCCAGCCCATCTTCTCCCGCTTCTTCCTCTCTTTTGCCTCCTTCTTGGCCAGCCGCCGAGCCCGCTTTTCCTCTGGCGTCTCGAAGGCCTTCATCAGCTCCTCCTGCTGCTTCCGCTCCTCGCGCAGGCGCAGCCGCTCCTGCAAGCTTTGCTGCTGGCTCAGGGCGGCTGCTGCCTCCTGAGGACTCTGGGAGTGGTCTGGGGATGCTGAGCTGGATCCGGAGGAGCCTGGAGACCAAGAGCGTGTCCGTCGCCGGCGGACCCATCTGCCACGTTGCTGCTGCCTCCGCTCATCACCTGAGTTGGACCGAGAGGACCGGTCCTGTGAGTGACAACGGGGTGGTGGGGGACTGCGGCTCTGCCTCCCTCGCCGCTTCCACCGCTCTTCCTCTGAATCTGACCTGCAGAAGGAATCCGAAAAGGTCTGCTTACTGTTTGCGGGTCAGTCATTTATCTGACAGGCCTTTGTTAAACACCTCTGTAAGTGCCAGGCAGAGTTCTAGATTCTGGAACACAGCATTGACAGTGACAGTTCCTGCCCTCTGGGGGCTCATGTCAGCACACTGATACACCACGTAATAGCAGACAGTGCCAACAGCCACAAAGAACAGTGATACAGAGTTAAGGGATGGAGAGATCAGTCTCAGGATTTCCGAGTGGGTCATTCTGGAGAAAGTAGGGAGGAAGCTACAGGGAGAGCTGGAGAAAGAACACTCCTAGCACAGCAAGCACAAAGACCCTGGGGCAGGATTGTGTCTGATGTGCGAGAGGGTCTGAGTGGCTGAAGAGTTGTGAATGAGGAGGACAAAGGGAGGCAGAGGGGAGGGCAGGGGCGGCTGGCATGGATGGCCCAGGTGCTGTAAGTTCAGGAACCCGAGGGCCTGACAGGTCTATGCCAAGGGCAGTCTTACCAGAAGGTGGTGTTTAAACTGGTCCTATAGGATAGGCAGGAGTGAACGGGGGTAAGACGGACACTGAAGTGAAGGACAGTGAAAACAGGGAATGGAATGCTGAGTTCCTACGGGTGGATTTCTTAATGTTGGAGACCTTCCGAATGTGGAGAACAACGGAGTCTGAAGTATTCTGTTAAACACAACTAAGCGACATCAAAACTAAGCAACAAACCCAATTATTTTGGAGTTCTTAAATACAGAATAAATTTCATCAAATTTTCCTTAACAACATTGATTAATTATGAATCTAGGATGACTGATTCTTGTGGATAATTCAAATACTAGAAAGCAGTAGGCAAAAAATTACAAAGATGACAATAACAGATTTAATGCTACACATGAACCAGTGCTAAGAACATCAACATCAGAGGCTTAACCCAAAGTCAGCAAACTTTTTCTAGAAAGGGCCAGCCTATGCGCTACAACAGTAGAGATGTTATGTTCAAGGCAGCCAGAAAGAGCATGTAAACAAAGGGGCACCGCCGTGTTCCACTACAATAGTCCCCCCTTCTCCGTGGCAATACCTTCCACGACTCCCAGTTGGTGTCTGAAAGCAAGGATAGTATCAGACCCTACCATGTTTACATCATACACATTTATGATAGTTTAACTTGTAAGTTAGGCACAGTAAGAGATTAACAACAAAATCTACGATATAATAATATTAAATAATGAATAAACTCATAAAATGATAACAATATATCCATAAACATTATGTCTCCCAAAACATCTTATTCTCAGTATTTTCGGATCGCGGTTAATGTGGATGACTGAAAATAAAGTTGTACATAAGGGGGAAGTAAAATTTTCTGGACACCAAAATTTGAGTTTCGGGCCTCCCCGGTGGCGCAGCGGTTGAGCGCTGGGTTGCGAAGCTGCCCGCGGCCTCTGGGGCGCCGGTTCGATCCCCGGCTGTTCCCCGGCCACCGGAGGAGGGTCCCGCATGGCGCGCAGACCTCTCCTGCTGCCCGCTGCTCCCCTCAGCAGTGTACTTCGGTCCTTCTGCCTGCTCTGCTCCCCGCTCTGGCTCTGGTGAATTCTCTCACCCTCCCGCGCTTCTGACTGTACCCAGTGCTTGTGTAAATAAATAAATAAATCTTAAAATTGAGTTTCATGTAATTTTCACATATCACGGAATACTCTCCTCACCCCCCCCTTCCCCTTCATCATTTAAAAGTGTAAAAAACTATTACTGGTTTTTTATTACTGGTTCATAGGCTGTAGTTTGCCAATCCCTGGTTAAACCATTTATTCTTAATTTCTCTCCTGCTGCTTGTATCTTCTAAGATTCCTGGGTGGCAACGATATTCCATACCTTTAAAATGAAAAGCCACCTTGTCAAACCGAGAGGACGATGAGCTGTGCCTGCCTCCAGTCACTGACTGGTGTGGACAGCACGCTCTGGGGACAGGGACAAAGCATGCCTAGGGAGGGGCGGCGGAGACCCTGAGGGCACAGATGTGCAAAAGGTGGGGCAGGGACCCGCCTGGGTGTCACACCTGGGTTGAGCCAGCACTGGGACCCAGGTCTGGGAGTCCCCATCACCATGCTGGTTCCTTCAGGGTGGAGAAGACTCAAGCCAAGTCTTGCCCCATCTTCAGAAAAAAAGAACTGCAAACAGACAGGGGGGACTCTGGGACCCAAGGCTCGGAGTCGAATCCTTCTACTTGCAATCAACAGTTCTTCCTTTTTACACCCCCCACCCCCGTTAACAGTCCACCAGCAAGTGTCGTCAACTCTATTCTGAAACCCCTCTTAAATCTAACCAGTTCCCCACAGCCTCCCTCTCGTGAAGGCCGCCACCACCTTTCGTCTGCAGCGCTGGACCATCCTCCTCCTCCCTGGTGTCACGTCCGCCGCGCCCGCCCCCAGTCCCTTCTCCCCACTAAAGGGAGTTCTGTAAGCCAGTCGGACCACATCACCCCATTGCTCAAAATCCTCGCACACCTCTCTCTCCCCGAATAACGGCAAACCCCTCACTACCGCACACGAGGCCGCACCGTCCAGCCTCCCGTTACTCCTCCGACCTCATCTCCTGCTCCCCTCCGCCTCGCCCCCGAGCTCGCCGCTGTTCCTCCAAGCAGCAGGCGCCCTGCCGGGACGCCTCGCCTCGGCCCGCGGCCGGACGTCTCCTCGCCCGGGCGGACCTCCCTGGCTACCGCGGCGCCTCCCCGCTGCTCGACGGCAGAAGCCGCGGCCCGGCGCCGCGCACGCAGGGACCCACCTGCGCTCCCGGCTCCGCCGCCTCCGCCTGCGCCGCCCCTCGTCGTCCCGGCGCCGCCGGCTTCGCCGCCCATGACTCCCGCTCCGACTTCGACTCCGGCTCCCGCTCCGGCTCCTCTGCCTCCTGCCTCTGCGACCCGCGGACCGCGAGCGCGAGCGTGTGTCCCGACCCATCGGCGGGGACGGCGGCGCACACGACATCCGGGGCCTGCGCCGGGGCCTTCCCCATCGCGGCGCGCGCCGTGCTGCCCGGCCCGCGCCTGAGCCAGCCGGGGGAAGGCCGCCCCGCGGGGACGCCGAGGGCCCGCAGCCGCCCCGCCTTGCGCACCCAGGGGCCGCGGCGGGGACTCCGGTTGTACCGTCGCTTCCGCCCTGGGTTGGGGGGGCGGGGGAAAGGGGGGGCAGGCTCTTCAGGCAATGCCGCGGCCAGCCCCTGTGGGTCCTCGCGCCTCAGGGCGCCTGAGGAGCTGTGGGCGGAGCAAGGGCCAACCAGAAACTGAGCGGGGCGGGCCCTGGGGTGACGGTTTCAAGAATCGGGTCCGAGGATGAGGTGGAACTGGCTTGGGCGGGGCTTGGATGCGGAACTTAGAGGGCAGGGGACCAAGAAAAGAGGGGGCTCGGGCGGGGTCGAGGGAGGAGAACGTGCGGGGCGGGGTCTGGGCTGATGGCGGCGGCCAAGCCGCCAGGCCGCGGGCTGGAGTCCTGACAGCCGGGACCCGGCACGGAGGCTGCAGAGACTTAGACGCTGGCTGAGCACCCGTCAGTGCCCTTCTTGCCTCAGCACCTGCCAGTGAATATCTGGGTGGGGTTAAGCGTTCACCTTAAACATGGGGAAAGCCCTGCGTTCCCCACTTCATCTCATAGAGAAACTGAGACTCCAGAGAGGGAAGGTCATTTGAACACTCTCCTGCCTCTTCCCGAGCGAGGCAGCTTGCAGCGAGGATTTCAACTTTGTGGGCCAGCTTTATTCTGAGGGTGCTGGGCAACCGCGGGAGGGTTTTGAGCAGGGAGAGCTGAGCCCTGGTCACAGGCGGGTAGGGAGGATGGACCGCAGTGGACAGGGCTGAAGGCTCTTGACGTCCTGCTCCTAGAGCCCCCCACGCCCCAGAGGATTTTTATTATCTTAATTTAAGCCAACTCTTTCAATATTTACCTCAAAGTACAACTTCATACTTCCCTCCTCCCCCTCACGCTGGCTCTGTATGCTCTGCTTGGCACCAATGTACGAGTGGATGGTGGTAAGGCTGGAACCTTCTCGGGGACATCAGAAGACCATACCTGCCACCTCTGAAAACGAACCTGCTTGTCATGGGATGTGCTCGGTTTTGGTGATGGGATGGCCCCCAAACGTGAAGAGGGTGTGGTCTCTTGATTTTGGAAATGCAAATACATCCTTGAGTACTTGCATACTCACCCTTGAAGATGAGGAAAGCACATTCCACCACCTGCTAAAGGAGCCCTGCCGCCCTATGATTAAAACCCGGTTTCCAAGGGTTCACTTACTTTTAAGTGTTTTTCAAATCGGAAGTTTGGGAGAAATATTTCCCCTTAAAAGGGGTCTGTGCATTATTCAATTTGAGCAATTCTGGCAGAACAGATACAGATTTGGGGAATGTTTGTTCCTTTGCAATGGGTTGCGCTGAGCTCAGAAGCTTGTAAGTTTTCTGAGCTGAACTGGAATCATAAGGAAAGCAGTGCTTCAGGCATTAGGGTTCCTGTTATTTTAAATCTTACTAAGATTTCTTTTCGCCTTTGTTAATAATCATCCTCAGATTCTTGGGACCCAGAGAGGCGCAGAGAGGCAGCACTGCTCATTACCCGATTTATTAGAGGTCTCTTCAACGTAAAAAGAGGGTGGGGCGGTGGGGATGGGGCAGGGGTCCAGGGCTGCATACAAGTTTTTGGGGGCCAGCAGTGGCTGTAGGTTACAGAGGTGCCCACGGCTCTGGGTTTGAGCAGGACCGCATCCTGTGCCCAAGTAGGCCGTGCTCTGGATTGTCACACACCAGACCAGGGGCTGAGCACGGGGAACCCCCGTTGAGAATTAAGACACACAAGGTTTGCAGTTTTGTTGTGTTTCAAAATCAGTTCGGCCATAAAAAACGAGTTAAGGAGGGTGGGGGCAGGCAATGCAACTGAGCCACCAGAGAAAAGGCCGCAACAAGGGAGCTTGTCCTGGAGCAGAACCGAGGGGCTGCAGTGACAGTACCATGGCGAGGGACCCCACAGGTTGGGGGAGGGGGGAGTATTGCACTGAGCCAGGTGCTGGAGGGAGGAGGCAGAGGACACATGGAAGGCTCCACCTTGTCAGTCTCAGAAACGCCTGTCACGTTTACAGTACAGCAATTCAGACACAGCCCACATCCACGGCCACAGCAGCCATCAGAGAACAGGAAGGAGATTTACAGATTTACAGATATCTATCCTGGGGGCAACAGCAGGTGGGTCCAAGCCTTCCTCACCTGGAAGCTCACTGCCTGCCCTCCCACCCTCAAAAGAATAAGCAAAGGCCTTGCACTGACACAGACCGAGGACCACTTTAGCATCCGTTTGACAGTTTTCTCAAAAGGGACAATGAACGTGGCCAACACAAAAATAGGTCTCCAAGGGTCTTCATGACTTAACACAAAAATAGATACATCATGATATCTGGGGATATGCGATTTCTCTAAATCAGCATCCAACTGACTCTTCCATGATTCAGGAAAGCCCAAGGGGCCCAACAAGACAGGCAGGCCCGACGGGGCCACACGGATGGTCCCCTCTTCCTGAAGCTCCAGGTGGATGTGGGCCAACTCTCCAGGACTGTGTGCCTGCTGTGCTGGTCACCCCCACAGGGCTCACCATGTCTCTGACTCCTGGGCGGGGACCCCAACGTGGGTCCTGTAAGTCCTTGAGGGTCAAGACGTGCCTCCTTTACATCTTTGTCCATTCAGTCTGCTTCCCCACGGGCAGGATGGGCCAGGGACGGACTGACCACTCGAGGTATCCAGCCAGGGTGTCTGCAGACGCCGGTCTGAAATCCAGCAGGATGCTTCCCTGATCTGGACAAATGCTCCTGGCAGGACGGAGAGGGTGTCTTTTTCCTTCCAGTCAGGATCCCACAGGTGTGCTGTGATGGGTCCTCCGAAGGGTGGCCCCCTCGAGGCTCCCTTCCCCTGCCACGTTCTGCAGGAGTGTCCCCAGCAGCCCGGCTCACGAGCCGGGGCACTGCCCGTGCTAACAGCAAGGGGAGAGCTAGTTCTCCATGGGGGAAGACAGCAGTCAGGCCGACGGTCCCTCTGAGCTGGGCGACGGGAGACAGGGAGGGAGCCACATAGCAGGAGGAAGCAGGATACGCACAGCTGAAATGGACTCATAAAATCAAATTCTGGGATCGATGGGTTCTCTAGCTATCTCAGGCTCCTCCGAGACGGCCAGGGCTGGGAGAAATCTTTCCAGAAGGTGTGGCTTCTGTTCTGCTCTGTGCCAACAACCAGCACCTCACATGCACACGGTGTAGGGGGTCCTTAGAGGGACAGGAAACCGTCACATATGGGTCACCTCTCAGGAGGTGGGCGTGTATGTGGTCTCTGGATACAGTGAGGTTCTTGGAAGTCACCCGGTGGGGTTCAGGGTTCAGCGTGCCACTAGGGGCGGCTGCCCCTGTTGAAGACAACAAACCAAAAAAAATAAAGTTTCCTCTGCAGAATTCCATCTCCCAGCCTTCCATGAGCACAAGCATGACCAACATTTAAAAACGAAAACAAGGACCCACCCCAGTCCTAGTCCTGAGAGTCTCCTACTAGAGAGGGTTCTGTTTCTCCGATTGGGACATGGCATGTGGCCTGCCCATGAGGCCCCTTCCCTGGGACACAAGTTCTTCTGTCAGAGCTGGATGTTAGGCAGGCATTTTGGGGAAGGCCCTGCTCTGAAGGGGTGCTGCCCCATCTCTTGGCCCTCTGGATAAGTCTTCCATGCTGGGAGGAGAAAGAGAAACCTGGAGCCCTGAGTTCCACCGAGAGGGGGTTGCTGTGGAAGTCCCCCAGGATGATGTCCAGTGTCCAGCCTGCAAACCCGAGCCCAAAGCCCCCGCCAGGCTCAGGTGGATGGTCTCCAGAGGTGCCCTGGGGAACAGCGGCGGCCCTCGGACCTTCCCTCCCAGGTATACCGTCCGAGATGAAGGGAGGAGTCAGGTGGCGCGAGGCCGGTCCCCTTCACAGGACACCCAGTTGAGACAAGGAGCGCGGTTTCAGCTGAGATGACTGGGCCGTTAGCTGACGGGAAAGCCTTGTTCCCCCAGCAATACACATGCAAGCACAGCAAAGAACCAAAAAGTGCAGTGGAATGGAGTCTCTTCTTTTTCCATTATGTTCTTTTTTTTTCCTTTTTCTTTTTTCTAAAAAAGCACACGTGCTACCATCCCTGTGCAAAGAGTAGGGACCGAAAATAAATACGTGATTGGGAACTTGGGAGGGCTCACAGTATCGCAGGCGTAGGTAGTTGACAGGGAGCTGGGGCTGTGCCCCGATGGCTCTGTGGCCTGAGCATCAGTGTCCGTCATAGAGGGGAGGCGTGGGCGGCAAGGTCCACAGGTAGTAGGGTAGGTGTCTCTGAGCTCTGCCCAGTCGGCGGGCAATGCCCCCGGGAAGCAGCCAGGGCAGCAGCAGGCCCTTGGCTTCAAGTTGGTGAGACTGCATAGAAATTACTGCAGAAGGCAAGAAAGAGGGTGAAGGGACAGACCCTACCCAGTGGTCTCCCGCGGCTGGGCCGACATCTCGAGCCAGAGACCCCATGTGTGCTAAGGACTGGACACCAGCCCTGAGATACTCACCCCGCCGGCTGCCACTTGGCCGGAGCCCCTCCCAACCCAGGCCTCAGTTTTCCCATCTTGTCCCTGGATGTGTGGGGACCTCACTCTGGGCCCTCTGTGGACCCTCCAGGGCTGAGGCCCTGGGGCCGGGTCCAAGGGGGTTGGGCTGGCGCACTTACTGTGTCGCTCTCGCCGTCGGAGGCTGGGTGGGCCTGCACGCTATAGTGGAGTGGGGAGTACACCCAGCTCCTCTCATCGGTGGGCTGGAGGGCGGGCGGGCGGCACGTGCAGGAAGGGCGCAGAAGAGCAGGGTGCAGAGGCGTGACAGAGAGGCAGAGGGAGAGGAAGAAACAGAAATAAAAGAGGCAGACCCCCAACGCGGGACGACGAGTGGGTGACTCAGCCCCAGCTGCCCTTTCCCGGACCGGAAACCTGCCCCCAACCCGGGCAGTCCTGGGGTTGAGGTAGGGGCTCCGGGGGCCTGGCCTCCAGCTGAGTGGCCAGTAGGTACGGCAGGGTGGGTGGTAGGAAGCGGTTAGTGGCGTGAAGGCAGGGCTGGCACAGCACAGGAAGACGGGCGGCGGGCCTGGTGCTCTGCTATCCTGCTGCTCCCGCTCCCTTTCTCTCCCGTCCCAGTGCTCCCCACCTGCCCTCCCAAAGCACCCCAACCTTTGTCCTACCCTGGTAGAACCCCAGCTCAGGTCCTGGACTCCAGACTGGAGCAGGACCTCAACTTGGGGTTCGTGGGTAGTGGACATCTTGGGGTGGAGCCAATTTTCCAATCACCCACAAGTCTTTCAGGATGGAATGCACGGATTTCCTCACGGGAAACTGAGGCATGAGTCACAGTGGAGACCTGCCAGCCCCCCTCCAGGGGACACCTTCTGGGGAGTAGATGCAGTAGGGGCTCAAACTGAGGCCTGGGGACTGACCAAGAAGGGTCCTGGACAAGGCAGGTTGCTGGTCTCCCACTCCCACCCGGTCCGAGTGAGGTTCAGTGGCTGCAGCACTGACACTCACCCACCCAGGGTCTGCCCTGCCTCATGGACTCTGCCCCAGCCCTGGCCCCGGTGACTCCCTCAAGACTCCATGACTGCCCTCACCTAGTGGGCTCCTTTTCTCCCCAGGGGCTCCCTTTGCTCTTCGACACTCTAAGGGTTCGGCTCAGCATGCTGGGCCTGAGGATGCATGCACCAGAGCCATAGCCACCCTGGTGTCCCACGGCCCCTAAACTCACCACACCACAACCCACGGCACCCCCAGATCCACCCCACTCCTTCCACTTCTGACACTGAGGTCCTGGCCTGAGGCATGCCCTGTTCCACCTCCCTTCTAGGGATCCGCCTGCTGGCTCTCTAACCCAGGGCTACTCCTCTGCCTGCTCGATCCTATTCTTTCTGCAGCGCGGGGCAAAACCCACCCTTGTGTGAGCCACCTGGGCCTCTGGGCCCCACAGGCAGGTCATTCATCCCATGTGGCTATACCCGCCTCGGCTGGGCTGGCACAAACCACCGTAGGGCAGCAGCAGGGCCTAGCACAGCCCCTGCTGCTCCCTCTGACATCACAACTGCAGCCACAGCCCTGGCCCTGGGGCAGCTCACTTCTCACTCTAGCCCCTGGGACCCAGGAGGGTGGGGCCTGGCCTGCCTGGGAGCCAGAAGTGCCAGGATTCAGCAACCCAGATAATGGGAAGAGTGTCCTCACTGAAGCAGGCAAGGAACCAAGTCTGGGGAAGGAAGAAGTGGTGGCCAGAGGGCAGGGAGACCCGAGAGAGTTCTGGTCCCCACCGAGGTCAGGCCAACTGCTCCTCCAATCTGGCCTCCAGGCTCTACTTCTGCTGTGCCCTCTACATGATCACCCTTTCCTCTTCTGCCTCTTGGTACCCAGATGCTTCTCAAAGTCAGACCAACACCTCTCTAGGCAGCTCTGCAAACAGCTCCAGGCCCGGAGGCTCTTGGGGGCTGCCGCAAGGCTCCAGCCCCCATCATCTCTGGGGAGAAGCGTCCCTGCCCCTGGAGGGCACAGTACGGCAGGAGCCAGGTATGGTCTCTATCCTCGGGCCATGCGGCAGCCCGGGCACCTGCTGCTGCTCCAAGGGGCCTGCTGGCAGGCGGGGGTGCACAGCTCTGAGGAGCTTCATTCTTGAGAACAGAACCCTTACTTCAGATATCCACTCCGTTCTGCCCCTTCATGCGCTATGTGCCTCTGGGCAGGTGACTTGGCCTCCCCAGGCCCTTGTTTATCGTCATGACAGTAACAGGCACTGACCATGCGAACGCTGCACAGTGTCCACATGACGACCGGGCGCTAGACACATAGGCTGCCTTGGAGTTCGGGACTCAGATTTTGTCTAGACAAAATCTAACGTGCTCTTGTGGGCTCCCCGGGCAGCTGAGATTTCAGTTTCCCCGCCAGTGAGAGGGGTACAGATAGACCAGCCTGTCCCCTGCAGTTAAGACCCCGCTGGCCGCCTACGCACCCTGGAGAGCCTCCAGCAGCGAGGTCTCAGCGGAAGCATCTGTCCAACATGCTCCTGACTCAGGAGGCTGGGGTGGCCTGGGTGGGGGGTCAGATGCGGAGTTGCTACCACAGTCAATGGTGCCTCCTGAGCCCCAGCCACTTCAGCGACACCCACTGCAGAGGGGATGAAGTAATGTCACCTCGGGAGGCACAAGGCCAGTGCCTGCCTGGGGTAAGTGTTTTCCCCAAGTCCCTTCTCAGAGGAAGAGGGATGGCCAGGCCCTGTGGCTCCCTGCTGCCCAGGGCAGCAGGGTGGGGTCTGGGCTCCCTGGGGGCCTGCTGCAGTCACTTACAGTCCCTGAGGAGCTCAGCGTGACGGCCCGCAGTCGGCGATGCCGGGGAGAGTAAATCCAGTACCTCCCATCCGAGAACTGGGCGGACCGGGCGGGAGGAGGAAGCAAACAGAGGACAGGATGAGGCGACAGGAATCCGGGGGGGGAGGCAGGGAGGCGCTGGGTGGGGCAGGCGAGCAGGTGGCCAAGCGGGAAGGGGTATGGCAGGGTCCCACTGTGGCCTACTATCTTCTCTGCTGCCCAAGGGGCACAGCCACCCATTCAGGTGTCGGGGCAGACGCACAAAACAGGATTCGGTCTACTGGGTCGCTCACACACCGGTTCAGAGAATGGGACACAAGACCCCAGGTCTGGGAGATGACGCAGGGGGGTGTGCGCACTGGCACCCATCCTCCAAGTCCAGGCAGGGTCCCTGAGACCTGGTGTGCCAGCTCAAAGACAGAGAGCAGGGAGTATTAGTCCAAAAGCCGAGATGGTAGCAGGACGGCCAACTCACCCAGTGTCTGGGCCACAGGCAGGAGGCGGGCCCCCAGGCCACCCTTCCCCGGGAGCCCCGGGGAGGAGCAGATGGTCAGGGAAGGACAGCTGAGTTCTCCACTACAACAGAGGCCATCTGACCCCTGAGCAGGGTGGCCAGGGGAGGCAGCCCTAGGACTGTGTTGGGGGCATGGACTAGACTTGGCAGACTCGCTGGCCACCCGGCTCATCTAACCTGTCAGCTTGCCAGAGATGCGAGGGAGAGAGACGCAACACCCCCCCACCCTTTGGAAGAGGAGTCCTGGGTCCTCGGCAGGGATCCTTCTTGCTCCGCAGGACCCAGCCGCATTTAAGAGCAGCATGGCACCCACCAGCCGTTTACCACAGCCCCTTAGCTCCAAGCCCACCAGCTGCACGCACCACCCAGCGGGAGAAGACCCCTGCTACACCAGCCACTACCCTGCCCTGGGTTGCCCCAGCACCCAGCGGGGCTGGCAGGCCTCAGAGCCAGAGGACTCTGGACGTTTCATAGGGCAGCAGGGTGGCATGGCTGGGTTCAGACAGTGAGCACGAGGCCTGGGGAGAAGGGACCAGGGCAGTTCTGGGGCTTCAGAATGGTCAGGCTTGGATGGTTCAAAAAGTGCTCCCACACCATGTGAGTGAGTGTGGGTGAATGTGCACAAGTGTTGGAGCAAGGGGGGGGGCCCCTGTGAACATGCTGTTGGGTGTGGAAGAGTATGTGGGTGCGTGTTGATGGGCGAGCACGTGTGGTGTGTCCATGTGACTGCATGCAAAGGTATGTGCATGTAGCACACATAATTGTGTGCAAATGTGTGAGCAGGTATGTACATGCGCAAACAGGCATGTGCCCGTGTGTCTGGTCAAAGGCCTGGGAACAGGAAGCAGCCGTGGGGGTGACTTACAAAGTAGATGTCGGTGGTAGGCGCATCCTCTTCATCTGAGGCCTGACTGGCGGGTTCTGAGGCCTGGCTGGCAGTTTCTGCTTCAGAGGCAGCGACGGTGGCAGAGGCACAGGCTGGGGAAGCCTCCACCCTAGGGACACAGGGGACATGGGTGTCCTGGGGTCGAGTTCTGGGTAGCACCTGCCTTTCCCAGTCTACAATCGAATCCCTGCCTGTTACTCCTCCCTGGGGATCCACCGTGTTCAGTGTGACGTCATTGAGTCCAGGAGACGAGCACCGTCACGTATTGCTCAACAAGGGGAAGGTTCTAAGAGATGCACAGCCAGGTGACTTGTGGTTGTATGTCATGGAGTGTGACGACAATCCTTGATGGGACAGCCCACTACACACCTGGGCTCGACAGTGCAGCCTATCGGCCTAACCAAATATACAGTTTGAGGCTGACTGGAATGAGGTTAATTGACACCCAACATAAAACCTCCTTTCCAACACCACTGCAGACCAGGGAATGACCTGTCCGCCAACAGCAGGCCAGCCTGTCCTGCCAGCCCCGCTCAGGCATATGCACCATTGACCAGATCCTCGTCTTATCACTCACTTGCTGTGTAACCCTGGAGGTCATGGTCTGTCTTTGAGTCTCAGTTTCCTCATCTGTAAAGTAGGGGCACAGGGCACCTACCCTGTAGATTAGAGCATGTGCTGTATGCCAAGCCTGGTCCAGAACCTTCTGTGAATTAGTCCACTGAACCTCCTGCTGCCACTGTCCCATGTTACAGACAGAGAAACTGAGGTGCAGAGGGAAGTGAGGTCTGTATCTAAGGCTTTGGGATCCTGCAATTTTCATCTCATGGCTAAGGGACAAGCTCTCAGGAGGGCAGTGCCTACATGGAGAACTTGTATTCCAGTGAGATTTGGGCATGTTGCGTTTTTGGGCAAAGAAAGAAGGAAATTTCATATTGCCAGGCTCCTGTTAATGGCAAGCAGGCTGATGGTGTGTGTGCAGGGGCAAGGGTATGTGTGCGTGCATCACCCGTGTGCACAAAGTCTTAACGGCCAAGTGTAACCGGAAATGCGTGCTGTGAGTGCTGAATGAGGTCGCCTGAAATAGAACTGAAGTTCTAAAAGTATAGAAAGCAAAAATGATGAGAAAAGGAAAAATGACAATTATTAAACTAACCAGACAGGAAATGAGACACCAAGGGACAGAATGATAATCAATATATTGCACAAGACAGGCACAGAGAGAACAATCCCTCCCCTACAGAGCATAAACATTTCTTCCAGAGAGCCATAAACATTAAAACAGCTGATTTTGTATTTGACCACAAAGACCTCTAACTGTTTAAAAAAAATGTTTAGGCGACATAAAACCTAATCATTGGAAATAAGTACTAAAGAGATAAACAAAAAGTAAATACTTCGAAGTGAGAGACACCTAAAAACCCTTCATCTGGGTCTCACTCCCTTGGAACTGCTGACACTGGGGCCTGGCTGATCTCGGGGGTGGGGGCTGGGGGGTGGGGGGGCGTGGGGGTGGGCGGTGGCACAAAACTGGGCACTTGCTGGTCGGTGTTGAACAGCATGCTGGTCGGTGTTGAACAGTGGCCCTGCCCACTAGATGTCAGCAGCACCCCTAATCATGATGACCACAGATGTTCCCAGATGTCCTCTGGGGGACAAGCCCACCCCTGGGTGGTCGAAAGCCACAGTCTTGCAGCCAAGAAGCTAGAAGGAAAACCAGTAAGTCCACACACAAGCCGGCAGGAAAAAACTGCTTTGTGCCCAAAGCCACAGCACCCCCAAAGGGAGCACTCACAGGGAGGCGCCCACGGAAGCGCTTCCTGCTGAGAGAGAAAGGGAAGGGAGGCTACGCTGGAGAGAGCAACAAACAGGAAAATAAATCCGGAGCCAGAGAGAAATTTCTGACCATCTCATGAAATGTAAACAACACGATGGGAGGCAGTGACGAGATCTCTGAGACGCTGCTCAGCTGTGACCCCGAGTGCAGGCGAGCCCAGGCCAGGCTAGGGGCCCGGGGAAGGAGCAGGTGAGGAGTGAGAAAGACATGATCACAGAGGTGGTGACCAGGAGCCCCAAGACAAATGTGTTACCTGTAGTTCTGGGAGCAAATCTGAGGGCCTGGAGGCATGGGCCGGGCCCTGCCCCTCACCCTTTGGGCACCTTCTCTGTGCACGGGGACCACTGCTGTCCCCCAGCATCTCCCACCCCCTTTTCTCCACTCTGAGCTCCCTGGAAGGCAGCTTATACTTCCCAGGCTGTCTTGCTGTCAGTTGGCCACGTGGCCACACCTAGCCAGTGGGAACAAAGCCGGGTCCTGTGCTGTTGGGCAGTGGACGGTGGGACCCAGCACTCACCCCGAGTCCTCCTCCTTGGGGACCACGATCTCTACGCTGCACGTGGGCTCCACCTGCACCGTGATCTGCTGCAGGTCCTCTTCCGCGTGCGTCTCCTCCTGGGCCCTGAGGCAACAGGAAGCCTGTCTCCCTGCTTGCCCCCCTGGCCTCCAGGAGCAGCTGCTGAGCTCTGCGCTCAGCCCCATCTTCCCTCCCTGAAAGTTCCTGGCAGGAACCCTAAGGTGTGACCCGTGGGCACCATCAACCAGAGCCCTGAGCTGGTCCAGCCCTGTCATAGCGCTCAAGGTGCCCTCTCATGTCAGAGCAAGGGGCAGCCCCGTGCACATGTGCTCATGCATGTAGAAACGTCTCTGGAAGACAAACCTATTTCCAGGGATGCGCCCAGGGAGAGGAATGGGTGAGAGCAGGGGAGGCATTTGCATCTCTCAGAACAGAAAAAACTAGTAAGGAGAGGTGGGAGGGAGGGAGGCCGGCAACAGGCAGGCTGGGGAAGGGGATCTTTCGAGGGGGGGAAAGAGGAACATGAGCTACTCGGGAGTCTCTGATTCTGGTGCCGGCACTACAGCCTGAGATCCGTGATGTGGAAGAGGTCAAAGGGACTCCAGCTAGGGATTGGGGTGGGGGGAGCTCATCTCACCGGCCATCCTGTCCGGAGGACTGTGTGCGCCGCCTGCGGAGACCACGAATAGGTGAAGGTGTCTGCCCCGCTGCGCACCCCCTCGCCCATGACCCAAGCTCCGGCACCCGGGAGTGGTGAGAGACGGAATCGCTCACCTGTACCTTGGCTGCTCCGACGTCTCGGAGGGAGATCGCTCAGGGATGGAGAGGGAGGTGGAGGACAGGGTGGTGGCAATGGAGGCAGTGGTGGCCTCCTCAAAAGAGGGTGGTGTGCAGGGTAGGAGGTCAGGTCGGCCTGTGGGCAGAAGGGTGGGGAGGGGGTGGTGGGCGTCTGTGCTTGGCTCACTCAGCACCGCCCACAGCCAACGCTCCCCTCTCTCACAACTTTACATGAGCAAACACACTCGGATTTGGATTTCGAGGGCTTCGAGTAGCCTACCACTGCTTCCCAGTAAGCCCAACCTTCAGGATCCTGCCTGACTTGCTCCCCTCCCCACACCCTCCCTGCCCTCATCCTATCGCACTACTCCAACCACAAGGTGCCCTCCAACACAGCGGGCAGTGGTCCCGCCGGGCTCTGTGCACCCCAACCTCCCTATTAATGCTATTCCCCAGCCTCCTTCCCATCCCCCTGGGATCTTTGACCCACACTGGGCTCAGGCTTGACCCCACTGATAGCTTCATCCCTCCAGGTCTCTAGAGGTGGCAGAAAGACTCTCTTCCCAGGTGGGGCCCTTCTATGCTCCGCTCTGAGGCTTTCCTGGGTGGAGGGGGGAAAGTGACCCACCCACTAGGGCGCCAGTGTTCCATTTCTGTACTTGCTCTCTGCCCCACTTTTCAGCAGCCCCCTAATCTATCACAAATGCACCTTCCCCCCACCCTGCCTGCCACACCCAGTCACCTTCATCCTCCAGGGTGGGGTAACTGCGGGCCCCCCGCAGGTCGTACTGGGCATCCTCCCGCTCACTGGGGATCTGGCTGGCTGAGAAGGCAGCTGTGGGTCCCAGGGGCTTGACAGCCAGCAAGGCACTGCGGCCCTTCTTGGACGGTGATGACTTCAGGGCTGCATAGGGAGGGCAGTCGCTACTTGGGGCAGAAACATGAGGCAGGGCCCCAACGGCTCAGCCTGCACCCAGCCCTTCCCGCCCCGCCCCCAGCCTATTCAAGCAGCAGCTCTCTAAGGCCAAAACCCTGCTTTCCACTGGAGCTGCCATGGGAAGCACTGGGAGCCGGTAGCCATGCTGCCTGCCCCGGAGAGATGGGATGAGTTCCTCAGGGACCAGGCCCCTAAAACCAGTAGTGGAGTCAGCCTTCACCTATGTCTAATTGAGTGCTCTGGGCCTTGTTTCCTTATGTGCACAGCCCCCCTGCTCTCCGGCACCCCTTACTTTCAGATAAGGAAACTGGCCCTGGGGAGTATGGGCCTGAGCGCTTAAGGCCTGAGCTTGATCTGGGCCGTGAGGCATAGGGGATGAGGCTCAGCCTCTGCTGTGTCCTGGTGCCCTCATTTCCAACAACAGGGTCAAGGGCATGAGCAGGCCTCGTAATGCACTGCGCATCACCGCCCTCTACATGCCTTGTGCATCATCCAGTTGCCAGAGGCGACCACGGGTGTGACATCAAGGCTAACCACCAGTTCTTGGCTGGACCTGTGGCACATGAGGGCTGAAGAGGCGGGTATGCCCTGTGTCCGGACACTTACTGAGCATCTACTGTGTGCCAGGCCCTGGGCTGGATACTGGGGCCATGGCGGCCACGGCTGGTGAGACCCCCTCCTGTTGGTGTGGTTGGGTGGACAACAGACAAGGGGCAAGCACATGAGCTGGGCCAGGGTCTACCCTGGAGTCTGGGAGCTGCAAGGCTCAGTGGACGTGGCACCTGAGCGCAGTCTTGGAGATGGGGGGCAGTGGCAGAGTAGGCTATGAACACAGGTCTCCCTCCTTCCTGCTGATGCCCTGCAGCCTCCCTGATGACCAAGTATGGCTGCTAACTCACACCTCAGGGTCCCACCAAGGCCACATTTCTTTGGCAGGGGGCAGGCTGCCTCACAGAGAGCAGTGGCACTGGGTCAGGCCCACCTGCCTGGTGGGTAAATACATCTGGCCCTCACAGCTCTGTTCAAATGAGAAAACGGAGTCACAGAGAAGGGGGGATCACTTGCTTGAAGTCACACAGCCATGATGAGGCAGAACCAGGACTCAAACTGGAACTGTGGGCATCAGGCCATCCTACGCTCCCATGGCAGTCCCTGACCACCCCACTGTCTGGGCCAAGTCCCTGATGAAGGCTCAGAACTAACTAAGAGGACACGCTGCCCTGCTCTCTCCAAGAATCGCTCCCACCCACAGGGCCTGGGCAACTCACAGGAGTTCTTCCGAAAGACCGTGTTGCTCATGAACTTAAAGAAGCGCTCAGCATAGAAGCTGGGCCGATGGACAGAGACAGTGTCCTGGGAAGAGAAATGGAGTAACCGAGGTGAAAAGAGGCATGAACCACCAGGAGCTCCTGCATCCCACAGTCCCCCATGACAGATCATATGGAGGGGCTGGTGCCACCCTCTGTGTAAGGGGCAGATGGGCTAATAGCCCAAAGGCTTCTGGAAGGGAAGTCCAGTATCAGGAAGCGAAGGCAGGGAGGTGGGGTGGAAAGCAGATTTTTTTCATTATAACTCATCTCTATTTTTAACTTTTCAACTAGATGAATAAAGTAGCTACTCAACAAAACAAGTATCAAAGAAACCACAGGGATTCTCTGAAGCAGGGTTTGGCAAAATACACTGAACATCTAGGTGCTTGTAAATAAAGTTTTATTGGCACTTATTTATATCCATCCAAAGACAGAGCACCTGCATCCCGGGATGAGCCCCCCTGCTATAGTGTGGTGATATCCACGGGACTCATAGCACCCAAATGAAAGGGACACTTCCATCCTCCTCTCCTCAGAGGCGTGGCTGTGTGACCATGTGCCCCTAGAGGGGAGGGGCCATCTCAGATCCTGTGCCCCAAGGGCTGTGGGGCAGATTCCTAGTCTAGGAGAGGAGGGCAATGCCCTGGGACAGGTGGTGACACCAGGAGGCTGATGACACTATGCCATCCTCTTACCCTGACTGCTCTTACCCCTGACTGCTCCAGGTGGCTCACACCTGGATTGTTACTTTGATCAATATTGGGGTCTCCCTCCCTGACACCCCCTTCGGCCCACCCCCATTTGGGAGCTGAACCAAATCCTATGCTTGGGAGGGGGGAGGGTCACAGCTGGCCTTATCAGGAGTTTAGGTTTATCACACCACAAAAGGGCCTCCTGCTAACCAGCCCACACTTGTACCTTCTCTGCGTACATTCTGAAGCTGGCCCCTGGGCTGCGGGTGGGCAGAATCTGGGTGGTACAGACTGCAGGCCTTTAGTAAGAACTGGTGTGAAGGCCTTGGGAGGAGAAGCCTCTGCCAGGGGCCTTCGCCTTCTGTCAGCATGGCTGGCCGGGGTGTTCTGACAGCAGGTGGGCTCTACTTGCCTCTAGTGGTCAAGTTGCCCAGTCTGTGAGCTTTAGAAACAATCTGCTGCTTGCGTGCATGCACGGGCAGTATGTTCAGGGGAAATGAGCATGTTTCAAGTTTTTCTCAAACCACTAAGAAGTTCTGCTGAAGCCAAGTCAGGTCCTCACGTGATAGCAGGAATCTAAGGTGCTGCCCCTGAGTAAGGCAGGTACCCCAGGCCCCATCCACATCACATGCTTCCAGAACATTCCTTGCCTGGCTAGTCCCTGACAATGTCATTTAACTGTCCACAAGAATCCTGCCAGCCCAGCTTGGGGGCACCTTCCTCCAACAAGACCTCCTCTACCCGCTCCTTGTGGGTCCAACAGTCGACAGCTGCCTATGCATCATGGTCCCACCCCTTCACCTGCATCTGCCCAGCTATGGCTCCTGCCCACTGGACAGTGTCACTCTTTAGGCCCTGAACCTGGTCCAGAGGGATGGTCCCATGGCTGATGAATGAAACGAACGACACTCACCCCGTCATGGACAAGAGCCTTCCAGGTGTGCTCCAGCTTCTTGATAAACCTGCAGGGAGGAAAAAAACACCCAGGTGTCAGACCTTCAGGTCCAAGGATTCTTCACTGGGGACCTCGTCACAACTGGGGCGCGTCTGGCACCAAGTGGGTTGAAAAGCCCTGGTCTGGAAGAATAGAGGCCTTGCCTGCTGCATCTGCAGAAGCCTCTTCCCCTTTCTGTCCTCCCTCAGCCTCCTTCCCACCTGCTGATACTCCTGCCACTGCCGCTCTGCGGAGGAAGTAAAAGTCCGAGATGCTTAGTCCTCTGAGGGGAATAGAGAAGCCAAGCCTCCAGGGCACGCCCCCCTCTCAGGTGGAGCAAGCACACTGTGCACACTGACGGGCTGCCAGTTAGGCTCCACACACAGGTGGCCGGGAGAACACCTCCTCTTCCAGGCAGCCTTCCCCATCCTCCAAGTCTGGGGGTGGGCGGGGGAAGGGCCTCTGTAGAAACCCTGACTTGCTATCAAAAATTGCCTAGTCCAGCAGAGGGAGAGCCCTACGAGAGATGAGGCCAGCTCCTAAGTGGAGATAAAGCTGACCGTATTGTATGTAGCATGGACAAAAGCCAACATTTGTGTTTATAAATGACACACACAAAGGGAAAATCACCCAACACCAGGGAATATCGTGGTTTTCTGGACAGGGTAGGTACAGGCAGGAAATGCAGCCCCCCTCCAGTCTGCAGTCCTGGTTTTTTTCTTTTCCCATCCATGTCTGGTTTATGCATCATGAACACACATTTCTCATACAGTAGAAACTGACACATGCTCACTGCTGGAAACAAGGGATAACACGCAGACAACAGGGTCATTCAAGCAGCGGCTGCAGGTGGGCTTGGGTGTCTGCTCCTCTTTCTTGTTCTGGTCCATTCTTAAGACCACAGAGCATGTGGCACTGGCCCATTTGGTGTTGTAGGTTGTGGGAACTTCCCAGAGACAAGCACTTCAGGTGTCATTTTGTCTTGTCTGTTTAGCCCAGCCCTTGGTATACAGTAGGTGCTCAACAGACAAGCCTGCACAGAAGAGCCGCTGGTGACACCCCACCTCCCCTCACTGCCTTGTGACAGCCTCGAACCGTCTCCCACAGCCCACTGCACCCCTAGGACAAATTCCGAGGATACACCAGGCTGGGGGGCAAGGAGGAGCCTTCCAGCAGGCTAAAGAAGCCCTAACAGCCACTGCTGTCTTGCGGGGGCCAGCTTCTGGCCGGAGCCGGGGGCAGCACCCACCTGTAGGACTGCAGGATGTCGATGATGCCGATGTGCAGCAGGAGGCGTTCTCCTCGGCCGTTCACGGCGGGGATCCCTCCCATCCTGGGGAGAGAGGAGTGGAGACTGGAAGTGCCACCCAGGGTGAGGGAGCGGGGGCCCAGGGCGGTCTAGTCTGCGAGGGCAAGGGCTGGGCGTCACCGGGAGCCCTGACCCTGAGACCAGGGGCCTGGGCGAGGGCCCAGGGGAGGCAGGGATGCAGCAGGTCTGAAGGTGCCTTTGGAAGGTGGGGAGCCCCTCCACCTGGGAGCACATCCTGGTGTGGGCTCCCACTGCTCTCCTGGAGCTCAGATTCAGAGCTGGAGGCTGGAAGCCGTTAAGGGATCCCTGCTACAAGACCCAAGCACAGACCACCACATGGACCCACACACATGCGTGCACACAGAGGCACACGCATGCATACACATGCCCACACACACATGAACCAAATGTGTACACACAGCACCTCACACACCGGGTCCCCCCATGGGCACACACATGCACGCACACCCCAGCAGGTCCACAAGGGCTTAAGGGTGCAGTCCGAGTTAGCCACCTCACTCGCCCAGGCCCAGCGTGGTTAGTGAGGTCACACGAGGCAGCAGCTGTCCAGAAGCCACCACGACTCAAGACCCAGGGTCCAGTCAATGCACGCCACATGCCACCAAGCTCACCTGCACACCCTGCCATCCCTGCCGGGCCCGGCAGACCCTACAAATGCCAAGATGGTGTGAGGATGGAGCCCATGGGTGGGGATCCGCACTTGCCCCGCCCCTCGCCGCCATCCTCTGCAGCGGGGCCCAGTGTGGCAGCCGGCCAAGGGTCAGGCTTTGGCGCCCTCACCAGTCAGCATGTGCACCAGGAGGGGTGCCCTCACTGCTGAGCCTCTGTTCCCCAGCACAATAAAGGGGGTGGGATGCCACGAGTACTCCAGGGCCCCCACGAGTACTCAGTGGGGTGATGGGAGTGAAGACAGCAGCCAGTCCTGGCACGGTCTGGGCATGGTGACAAGGGGACAAGTGTCTAAGTAAGTGGTTCCCACCCTGGGCAAGTCTGTCCCTTGGGACATGGGCCATGTCCAGGGACATGGGTGGTCGTCATGACCATGGGTACTCCCCCACAGCCAGCGATGCTGCTGATAGCCCCCAACAGAGTGACCTAGCCTTGAGTGTCCACAGGGTTGGAGGGGGCAGCTGCTTTATTTCTTGGGAAAGCAGATTTCTTGGTGCTCCCCGGTGCTGAGGGGGCCAGGTTTCCTATCATGCCTCACCCCATCCTTCCGCCATCTCCTGCATCATTGGCCAACAGCTCCCGTTTTGCTCTAGAAGCCATCCTGGGGTCCGGCGGGAAGGAAGGAGCTATCTGTTCACCACCGACAGTTGAGGGTCTCGGCCCTGCACTGGCTCACCCCGGCCAACACACGGGCCACCCCAGGCGCCCACCTCTAACTCCCACAGGGCCTGGCAGGCAGACAGGTGCTGCTGCTCAGACGCACCCACAAGGAACAGGCCTTGGGACTCGCTTCCTCGCCAGCTCTTCCCTGCTTGTTTTCTTGTCTAGTGAGGGGGCTGGACAGAGAAGCCCAGAGTGGCAGGGATGGATCTAAAACCCTGCCAGCCCAGCATGGCTGCACCACCTACGTGTCATCTGTCTCGATGGCCTCCCCGCGTGCAGCACCGCCCTGGATGGACTCCATGGCTGTGGAGTATAGCGCCTTTTGGCCTAGGGGCCGCTTCTCATCTGAGGTGCTCTGGGCGCCCTCGGCCTGCCGCTCCCGCTCCTGCTGGTCCATGTTGTGCACACCCAGCAGCAGGCTGTAGTCCATGATCTTGAAGCTCTCCAGCACCTGGGGGTTGGGGGTGGTCAGAGGCACACAGCCTACCCCCATCCCTAAATACCTGCCCCCAAGCTCAGTGTGCCCCGAGCTGCATGCTCGGGTCTGTGTCACTCAGTGCCCACAGCCATGTGGGAGGTCCACCATCACCATTTCAAAGACCAGGCGACAGAGGGGCCGAGGAAAATGGTGGCAGAGCTGGGAAGGGAATCGGGGGGGATGTTGGGATGCAGTGTCTAACCCTGAGGCTAGGCCACCTCTCAGTCTAAGACAGTTTTCTTCTTCCTGATAGAGGGGCCGACCAAGGTGTGTGGTCACTTGGTCCCTGGGACCTGGAAGACATAGGGCCCTGCCTTGTCTTAGCAGATTCCAGGGGACTTTATGTGACATTGGCAAAGGGGTCTGGGAGCTGGAGACAGTGGGCTGAAGGAGGCTAGAGATTCAGGGCAGAGGACCCATGCCCAGCCCCTGGACGACTGGGTATCTCAGGCAGGGAGGCCGCTCATCAAGCCTCCATCTCCTCATCTCTAGATGGCTAAGTGGCCTGAGCTGCCAGGTGGCAAGTAGTGGGGGAGGGGTAAACTGAGATTGCAGGAGTTCAGAAGGGGCCCTCACAGGGGGTGCTTTTGCCCAGAAAGCACCTGACTATGGAAGAGGGCGGCATAGCGTGCACCACACGTGAGTCTGAGGGAGCGAAGGTCAGGGCCATGGAAACCTCAGGCAGCTTCTGAGGCTTTGGCTCCAAGGCAGGAAGATGCCTGCTTCCAGGCACGGAGCAGACTGAGCATGAGGGGGTGGCTGGGGGCTGTGTGTCCTTATTGTAAAGATGGGGACATGGGGCTCAGGAGGTGAGGGCCCTCAAGCATGAGGGGTCCTCCACAGACGCGCCTCACCAGGCAGTCCCGCTGCAGCGTCTTGACGAGCGCGGAGAAGGTGTCGGCATCCAGCAGCAGCCCCTCAGGCATGTCCTGGATGAAGTCCAGGTCCTTGTAGGTGGGGATGCTCTTCTCCTTCTCCTTCTTGCTGGCCCGCCGCTTATACGTGGAGCCCTTGAGGTCAAACTTGAGGTGCATCTTGACCACGCGGGGCAGGATGTTGTTCATCACCACCACTCGAATGTTCTTGCCCCCCGACTGCACACAGTAGAGCCCATAGAACTTGGGCAGCAGTGTCCGCGGGTTCTGGTTGAGGTTCTGGGGGGGAGGGTGTATAGGAAAGAAGGTCAATGGGGATCTGTCAGGGCTACTTCCACTTGCAGGCCTTGCTCAGGACCGCTGGCTAGCAGGGTGCCAGGGAGACAGGACTGGCAGACGGCTCCTGCCCCAGAGCTGCTCAGCCTGTGCTAGGCCCCACCCGCACACCTGCCTGCTTCCCACTTGCACCTCAGGCATCCCACCCGAGGCTACCGCCTCACAAAGCCTGTCTTAACCCCCCCAAGCTTGGCCCTCACTCTGTCCTCCACAACACCCTGACTTTACATGGGTCACCCCAGCCAGTTTTATTCTTCCTCTCCACCTCCCCGTGGAAGCACCAGGCCCGGCAAGAGGTGGCCTTTACATAAAGTGCCCACGTGGGACGCTCCCGAGAAGTCTGAGCCAGGCTTTGAAACGTCAGACCCAGGCTCCCTACTTCCCGGCCAACCTTGGGGACACAGAAGGCACAGCCCCCACCAGGGCAGGGGCTGGCAGTGAGCCACAAGTTCTCATACCACTGTGAGCTGTGAATGGCTTAACATTGTTGAAAGGCTAAAAAAACTCAAAGAAAAACAGTGTCTGTGACACAGGAAACTACATGAGATGCACATTTCAGGATCCATAACTAAAGTTTTATTGGCACAAAGCCGTGCCTGCCCGCCACGTTCTCTATAGTGCTTTCCTGAGCTAAGAGGTAGAGACAGGCTCTTTACAGAAACTTTGCCCACCTTTCTTCGATCTTCAAGCATCAGATGTGACAGATAAGGGATACCCCAAAAGGGAGATGAGTTAACCTGTCTCCACACCCATCAGCACTCGCCAGGAGCCCTAGTCATGGCTCAGGGCCCCTGCAAGCTGGCCGACCACAAACCTGAGCCTCCTGCTACACGCCCCACCCAGGGTCCTGATGTGCCCTCTGGGGTCATGAGTCACACGTGGAAAGAGAGGCGGTCCAGCAGTCAGCCGTCTGTGAGATGCCAGCTGGCGCCCAGCCCCTCCTCCCTTACATCTGAGTCACTGACTGCCGAGACACTTGGCCCACAAAGCCACAATTTCTGGGACTCACGACTCAGGGGTGTTGGTGGAGCAGGGATTGGGGGAGCAAGCAGGGCCAATGCCCACCCCTCACCCTGCCAGGGGATAGCAACCAGGCCCAGACAGTAGTACCTGCTTGCCACATATGGGTGAACCACCTGGGGGGACCCAAGGGTGAGGGTCCAGATGCCCACAAAGGCTCCCTTGGTGGTGGTTGAGCCTAGGGACTCTGGGGACCCATCTGCCAATCTCGGACCATGTGCGGAGAGGGGGAGCAGAGCAGAAGGGCTGCACATGCCAGAGGGAAGAGAAGTTTTAAAGCTTGTGGGGGAAGCAGATGGGTCGGAAGGGTGTTTAAGGGTGCCCAGAAACTGGCCCAGCCCCTCAGAACCAACCAGAAAGCCTGTGATCCCTACCATGTAGTAGCCAGGTAGCAGCTTCTGCAGGAACTCAGCCTCCTTGTGCATCACGGTCTTGATGATGAACTCATCGTCGCTGGTGACGTAGAAGAGGGAACCGCTGGCACCGGGGTTGGACAGCTCGATCAGGGGCTCATTGCACAGTGAGTACTGAAGAAGGTGGAAGGCAAGTGAGTGGGGCAGGGTGTCAATGACCGCCCCCCACATACACACATAGGCCCAAAGCTAGTGGGCAAGCCCAGGATCACAGAATAGGCCCAAGGGAGCATCAGAGCCTGCGTGGGTCACTTGGCCCAGCTCAGCGTCCCTGAGCTGCCTGGTGCCATGCACACTGCCACATGTCTTGACACATTCTGGGGAAATGTGTCCTTAGGCACTGAGTGAACATCAGGTGGCACAAAAATGTCAGCAAACTTACAGCACCCCCTCCCTACCCCATCACTTAGGGACCCAGAACAACTCACACTAGCACTTTAGCCACTGTCTCTGAAGCAGTGGGGAAACTGAGTCAGGTCTTCAGGTCATGGTTCCTGAGCCCCTTGGATGGCCCACACCCCATTCTAGGTACTGGGGAGATGGTAATAAACTAAACAGGCTGAATTCCTGGCTCTTGGAGCCATAGGCTGGTTGGAGCCAGAAAGAAAAAAGACAACACATAACGGGTCAGAGAGCAGAAGAGGGTACAAGAAGATATCAGGTAGGGTCAAAGGGTAGTGAGTGAAGGTGGTTACGTGGACTGTTGGCTGGGAAGGCTGCGCCCTTCGAGGGGCCGACATCTGAACAAAAGAAAATGATGGCGTGCAAAGGCCCTGAGGCAGGAGTGTGTGGTGTGTCAGAGGAACAAGGAGGAGGGAGTGGCTGGAGGGCAGTATGTATGGCCGTGTGGCTTGTGGATGCCTGTGCTCAGAGGAGGCAGCTGGGTCATATCACCGAGGGTCCATGGGTCAAGTTGAGAAGGTTGGGTTTCATGCTCAAGGTAAGGAGACTCCACACTGAGGTTCAGACAGGAGGTGACTGATGTGATCTGTGTGTTACGGGCTCCCTCTGCACTGCAGGGCATAGGCAGGAGGCCCAGGTGAGCAGTGCGGGGGTCTGCTCCTGGGACAGCAGCAGAAGGGCAGGATTCCAAAGCACCCTGACAGCAGGCAGAGTCAATAAGACTCTGGCTGCAGGGAGAGCGCAGTTTAGGGAGGACTGAAGCTGATGCGTTTAAGATGCACCGTCACCAGCCTGGCCATCTGCTCATCTCTGCTCCACCCACAGCCAGGAGCCACAAATATCCATGAAACACAGAGGCCCACACTAGGTAGCTCTGTCCTCTCCCCACCACGGTGACCTCTCTGGGAGTTGGAGGACACACAGGCAGAGAAAGGATCTCCCAGGGTCTGGCATCACAGGCTGCAGGCAGTGGCCCCTGTGCAAGTCCTCAGTCCCCCTTGGTCACCTTGAACAGGGAGACCACAAACAGCCTAATCATCTTCCACTGGCATTTAAATAAGCAGAGAAAGTTCTGGAACCAAGTGCCAAACAGTGGCGGCCCTGGGGAGTAGCTTGGGGGGAATCAGGACTCAGCTGGGGGTGAGGGCGAGGTGGTGGTACTCATTTATTTCTGCCCATGAGCCAGATCATGGGCAGACAACACCCTGGCACACCCCTTCACCACTGGCATCCAAGGTAGCGCCCCCACAGGCACATGCCCTGACTCAGGACACAGCTTTGCCCGCCCATCTCAAGCCCTGCTGTCCTGAGCTGGGCACCTGCTGGGCCTCATTCAGGTGGGTCTCCATGAAGACAGGGTGACGTCCGAGCCTGCGCCATAGGTTCCATGAGGATTTGTACTGTTTACAGAGAGGGAAACTGAGACACGGAGAAGTGAAGAGACTGGCTTAAGGCCGATGGCTAAGACGAAAATTAAAATTAATGTCTGGAGGATGAATAGACAGGCTGGGCCCCCCCCCTGGCTCAGTGGCTGCAGGATATGGGCCCCAGCAGGGAAGGGGACAAGGCTGGCGTGCCCTTGGGCTCTGAGAGCCTGAGCTGGCTTTGCGCCTGCAATTCAGGGGGTTCTGGCACAAGGGCTAAAGGACATCACTCCCCTCCACATGACACCCCATTTTCTTGGTACATCCTAGAGCTTACTCCCTCCACAGCTGACCTCCAAATGGGCCCTACTGCCAACCCTCGTCCACCCTGAGTGGTCCCCTGGGACACAGACACCCACTTCTGGCTCTTGTCCCCACCCCCAGAATCTTCCACCAGGTGTCAGCCCGAGCAGTAGCCTCCATGACTACAACTGATGCGACGCTAGCCCCCCACCCTCCTCCAGGAATGAGAACACCCATCAAATCACAGAGGCTGCCGGTATCTCCCATGCCCAGCGCTGACATCAGTGCGCTCAGGGCCCAGGAAGAGCCAGCACCGTGGGCAGAACACCACCAGACCCGCCTGCCCGTGCTTTTCCTCATGCTCATTACCCAGTGGTGCCCGGTCCTGTGGGAGACCAAGGAGAGCTCGCCTCCCCCAGGATGAGCAGACAAATGAAAGCTGGAGGTCAGCAAGGCAGGGCCAGCTATCCAAACACCTTGGGGTCACACCAGACCACTGAGGTGCCTGAACTTGCTTTTATTACATTCAAACCAAGACCCCAGGCATCTCCATGACTTCACTCTGTTGCCAGAGTAATTGGTTCATGCCCCACTAATGGACATGGAGGCCTTTTTTCCTGCTCTTATAAGTAACAGGCTTCCAACTAGAACCCAGGAAAGCCAGGGGTCGTTTCCACTTAAGAACCACGGAACTGTGCACAAACACCTGTGTCCAAAGGGAGTGTCTCCGTGGAGCTGGAGGGGAGAAGGGGCAATTCATGTGACAGGGCTGCTAGGCTCAAGAGGCCCAGGTCTTTGTCTGGGTCTTGGCCACCATGACTCCAGATTCCAATGATGCTGAGAACTGGGGGTTACACATGCCCCTGGCCAGAGCAGAAGAAGCTTCTCTCTGAAGGGCATGGCTTGCAGGGCACAGGATTCCTGCAACACAAGGTCTACCCAACATGCAGCAAACACGCTCTTGTGGGCAAAAGCCAGGAGATCCGAGGGTGGCCCTCAGGACTGAAGCTGGTGGTAGATCAAACACGGCAAGACCCTCACTAAGCACCTGGCAGTGACCCCTCCCCACCCAGCCGCACACTGTGAGCAAAGAACCTGGCCAAGGTTGGCCTAGCTCCGGCCTGGAGCAGCTGACCCGGCACACCAGTGGTATAGCACCTGCAGCTCAATAGGCACTGACGAGAGGCCAGCAACAGCCAGTGCACTCACCAGGTAGTCGTCCGGTCGGATGCCAAAGAGTTCCCGGAAGTAGCGGAAGGCGACAGGTGCGTAGGTCTTGAACCTGAAGTCCTGGAAGTGGTGGGCAGGGGTGAGATTGCTGCCTTCACTGTGGAGGAAGGACCAGAAGGACACTGTGAGGGGCGGCCACTCTGTAGGCACCCCGCCTCATTTCCCGGACCCTCAAAGGCCCAACCTTCCCAGGTCAAGGACAGTGCTTCTAGCTGCCAAATTACAAGGGATTCTCAAAATGGCTGATCAGAAAAGTAACAAGGGGCTCCCAAGGGCACAAGAGCTACCCCCTACTAGCCATCTTCCTCTCTTCACTAGCGACAGAGACCACATTGTCGGACCACTCAGACTAGCCCCTGCCGGGACTCACTTGCAGCGTGGGGAGGTCACATGACCACGTGGGTGAGTAGAGCAAAAATCAACTACGTCATTTCCTAGTTCTGCCCTTAAAGGAAAGAAGCCCATGCTCCCCTTCTCCTCCTCCTTCCTTCTGTAGGGACAAGATGTAACAGCAGAGGCCCAGGCCGTCACCCTGGAATGCTGGCTAGCAAGTCTGCACATTAAGGATGACAAGCAACTAGAAGGAACCCAGGCCCCTGGCTGTGCAGCGCCACCTTACCAGCTGGGGTTGCCCAACAGTATTTTACTGTCTTCCCCTCGCCACTTTTTTTTTTTTAAAAGATTTATTTATTTATACAAGCACTGGGTACAGTCAGAAGCGCGGGAGGGTGAGAGAATTCACCAGAGTCAGAGCAGGGAGCAGAGCAGGCAGACTGACAAAGTACACTGCTGAGGGGAGCAGCGGGCGGCAGGAGAGGTCTGCGTGCTATGTGGGACCCTCACCCGGTGGCCGGGGACCGAACCAGCACTGCAGAGGCTGTGGGCAGCTTTGCAACCCAGCGCTCAACCGCTGCACCACCAGGGAGGACCCCCACCTCACCACTTTTTAAACCAGTATTGTACCAAGTCCCCCCTGACTGATACCCAGCTGGCCCTCAAGGCCAAAGACACACCTGCAATGGTCTGTGCCGTTTTCAGCAGAGAAGGGAGATGGGAGAATAGGCCGCTGTCTTACAGGGCCCGCTGCCAAAGGCGTGAGGCTACCACTGCAGGTAAGGAAGCCAGAGGACATACCTGGGGAAGAAGATGCTCTCCACCACGTAGAAGTCCTGCATGAGCACGTCGCGCTCTGGCTTGGAGCTCAGGTTGCCCACAGTGTAGCCAATGCCCAGCTGGATGGCACCCTTCAGGGTGGAGGAGGTGGTCTGCGGGAATAACCATGCATCAGGGTCCCGAGGATTCATCCCTGCCCACCTCTTCTCCCCTGGGAGAGAGACAGAAGAGAAATACCCTGGGACAGGGAGGGCGACGGAGGGTGTCCAGCCTGTAGCTTGACCCACCAAAGCTGTGTGGGAACTTGTCACAGCCGCTGGCCTCACTTAAGACATACAACCTTGTGGCTCAGATTGCCACCCTATGCAGACCCAAGGCCTGTTTCTACAAAAGTTCCGGAAGGTTCCAACATCTCAAAGCTGTCCCTACCCAGTCAGGGTCTATCCACTGTCAGGGTTTTCTTTGTGGGGGGAGGCACAATTTACTGAATGAAGCCTCATTTCTTTTCTACAGACTTGGGGTCCTTCTAATCACTTAGTGCGTGATTCACACCGTCACGATAGGCACTGACATCGCCTGACCATGCTCTCTGTGCTCGACACCCTCGAGACATCCTCAACAGAGCACACTTTCTCCAAAGACACATGGGGCGGTGAGCCAGAAGGTACTGCCCTCCACCAGCCATCAGGGAAATGCAAACCCAAGCCAGTGAGGCGGTCACTGTGAGGATGGATGTGATGACGGGCGGACAACGGCAAGCGCTGCGAAGAGGCGGAGGAGCTGGCGGGAGTGGGAAATGCAGTGGCTCCCGTGGAAAAGTCTGGCAGGTCTCCACAAGTTACACATGGAGTTTCCATCTGACCAGCAACTCCACTCTTCTGTATCTCCCCCAAAGAGAGAAAACCACACTCTGCACAAAAACTTGTACAAAAATGGTCGCAGTGGCACACCTCACAACAGCCAAAGGGCGTAACAACGTAAGCGTCCATCAAGGGGTGAACAAACACACACGCTGTGTCCTCCCACACAGGGCAACATGATGCAGTCACCAGGAGGGCAGCTCTGCCTTGCTACCGTGGGGAGGGACCTCGAACACATAACGCTCAGGGAGAGAAGCCAGACACAAAGGAATACACAGCGTGTGCCCACTGACGTGAAATGCCCAGAAAAGGCAAGCTCACAGACAGAAAGTGGAAGGTTCACGGGTGCTAGGAACTGGGGGAGGGAACGCTGATGTAGACAAGGCTTCCTTTAGTGGTGATGGAATGTTCTAGAACAGACTGTAGTGATGATTGCACAACTCTGTGAATACACCCAACTGCAAACTTCAAAAGGGTTGATCACGTGGTGTGTATATTCTCAGCAAAGTTGCTACAGTCAGGAGATAAAGCTGAGGCGGACAAGGCTGACAGCTCCAGGCTCTGGGGTTCCTTGGTCACTCTCCTGGCTTCAGAACTTTCTATCAGTGTCGCATTTGAGCTGCATTTTCCAAGGGAAGGGGAGGGAACTGCGTTTCCTTTCTCTAGATGAGGCAGCAGTATTGGGGGACTGCGTGTCATGAGCTCACAGGCTAGCCTCGGAAGACGCTGCCCAGTAGCCCACCCATTCGGTGACGACACGTGGGAGGACCTCCCCTGGACTAAGGATTTTGCATCAAGAGGCCCCACAGACAGCACCTGCCTTGATACAAGTGACCATGGTCCCTGCCCACCCACCCTACCCCAGGGGAGCCTGGGGGAGCCTGTGTGTGTGTTGGGAGTAGATGACCACCCTCCCAATTCAGCTAAAGGCACAGGAAGAACCTTCTTGTAGGTGGTTTCACCAGAGGCATCCACACCCCGATGACCCAGCTTCTTCCCATGGGCAGGGCCCAGCTGCCCGCTCATCAAGGGGACCTGCAGAAGAGGAAGCAGGAAGTGTTAAAAATCAGCAAGGAAGCGCCACTGCCCGGGTCAAAATGTTCTGGAAATCCTGGCAAGAGGGGGGCTTAGTCACCATGCCCAGCTGGCTCCCTGGCTGGCCATGTGGGGCCGGTGTGGACAGGCTCTGGAGCAGAAAGGGTGACCCAACACCACAGGGGTTAATGCCAAACACCCACAAGGGTCCATACCAAGACCGGCACTTGTGGACCCTTGAGAAGAGCAGGGAGAGAGGCAACCCCGACCTGACCGTGTGTGCGGGGAGAGTCCTGATTTCAGTCTCTGCCCTGGGCACTGCTGGCACTGGGGCCTTGTCAATGGGCACTGGGCACTGTGGGATGTTCAACAACCCCCCCCAGTCCCTATCCACTCAATAGGGACAGCTATGACAGGCAAGACAAGGGTCACCCCAGCAAATACCTGTGAAAGCCACAGACTCTGTGTGCAACTTCACAGGGGAGAATGAGGAAAGGGACCGTGGCATTTGAAGAAACAGGGAAGCCAGCTCAGCCTGGGGTTAGAGACAGGAGCCGGGTGCCCCTGTGGTGGCTCCACCATCACTGAGATTTAAGAGGCACCCACTGTGTTTATCTGACACCATTTAAAGAGCCCACACAGTCCTTCGTGCCCTATCTGCACTGTCCCCACATGGGGTTCCAGGAAGCTTCCTGAATGCCTCCACCCACCATGGCGCCTCTGCCTTGTGCCCCATGTTCTGAACATTGGCCACCAGGGGGCGGCCTCTCCTTAGGAATTGCGGGCTCTGTCCCTCCATATCTCTCCCTGGCTGGTCACTGCCCGCCTATTGCCTGGGCCTGGGCCTGGGCCTGGGCCTTCCAGGGGCCCGGGCAGGTGGATAAAGTCCTTAGGAGGAGCCCATGTGGCAGGTGGCATCCTAGGAGAGGAGACTAGGCTTCAAGGGGACACAGGGCGCTCAGGTCCAAAGGGCCAGGGGACTTTTCTGGCAACGCAGGCATAGCAAACACACCTGGCTGCTTCTAACCCTTGGCTGCTTCCTGGAAAATGGGCTCAGATATGACTCCACAGGCCGCTCTCAAGAGTGACGGGACACTCTAAGCAGGGACAGTGCTTGTCCCACCTGCGCCGCTTGAGCTGAGGACTGCCAGCCTGGGGCTCACAGGCAGCCCCACCATCACCACCAGGAGACACGCTTGGGAAAAGGCTGGGAGACAGTGAAGACAGCTGGTAGGGGTGGGGTGGAGGAAAAGAGACCCGCACTAGTGTGCGAGGCCGCGGGAGAAGGGGCACCACACACTGGAGGATAAAGGGCTGCCCTTTCAACCCCGTGCTCGGGGACACTGCCCTCATGGAGGTCCCACTTGGTCTCCCCACTCTCTCTTCTCCCTCATTACCCAGAGTGGGTCCTAGGCTGCTTCCTTCCCCAGCCCCTCACCACTACCCCCAAAACCAAGACAATGGCTGGACACTTTACCAACACTTGGGGCTCAGAGAGGGCAGTAAGTTACCCAAGGTCATATAGGAGGGCAAAGCTGGGCCAGGTACAATCTAGACTCCTCCTCAACCTCTTCTAGGAGGAGGTGGTCAGTGGGGCCCATAGGACACTCACCTCAGTGGGGGCTGTCTTCTTCTGGGCTAAACCTGAGGGAGAGATGAAAGATCAGATTGGACATGCCAGGTGGCCATCCACCTCACCGAGGGGCCCTACCCTCTGTGCCAGGGTCTCCAAGGTGACACAGACCCTGTCCCTCCTTCACACACCTGGGAGTTCTCTGGGGAGGGACACAAGGACCTTGCGTGGGAAACGGTGGCCACAGACAGGACAGAGATGGCAGGAAAACAGGACTTTGACACCCCACACCCCCTGGGCATGGACCTCCCCAGAAGGGAGAAACAGTGGGGAGCAATCACCCCCAACTGTGACCCACCCTTTACACCAAAGACATGCGGATTAACTGAACTGACACAGTGCCGTCCACTCCACGGCGGGAGCTGCGGCATAACCCGGAGACTTGGCTCTCGAAGGAACTTGCCCTAACGAGGAGTGGCAAGGAGGACACAGCAGTGCGCCACACCTCGGGCCATGTGGCCTCTTCTCCGAGGCCCTCTGGTGAGGGCATGCTGGTGTTGTGGAGAGTGCTAGGGGCCTAGGTGGCTGTGGTTAGTGGGGAATGGCTGGACCCGGGATGGGGCAGTGGTGACAGTTCTCAGCCCCTCTCAAGGGAGTGAGCTGGAAAGTCAGCTGCCAGGCGCCACTCCGCACAGCACCCAGTGCCAGGACATAGCTCCGTGGGAGAGTCCCAGGGGAGGGGGCTCTCAATGAGGGGTGGGCGATGCTCCCCTCAGGACCCACCCTCCGCTGGCCTCGCTGAGTCTCTGCGTCAGCTTCTATGAGCGTTGTCATTCAGTGAGTGGTCAGCAGATGTGCAACCCATACAGCTGCACCTTGGTCCCCAGAACATGTGGATCTGCCACCTCACATGGCAAAGGGGACTTTGCAGAGGTGATGCAGTTGAGGCACCTGAGATGGGGAGCATCCTGCATTCCTGGGCAGTGAGGGGGGGGCCAGGGTGCTCATGAGAGTCCTCATAGAGGGAGGAAAAGGGCCCAAGGCAGAGAGTGGGGAAGGGCCTCAGGGCGCGGCTGGCTGTGAGGAGGAAGGGCCTGAGCCCAGGATGTGGCTCTTTGAGAAGCTGGAACAGGCAGGAGATGGGCCCCCTGGGGCCTGGGAAGAGCATCCTGCCCCCCTGTGCGGGCCAACCTGCTCCCACCCGGGAAACAAGTGTCAGACTCCCCACCCCTAGAAAGGGAGATGACACGGGAGTGTGGTTTCAGGCAAGTCTGCAGAGATTTGCTGCAGCTGCAACAGGAAACTCGTACGTGGGGTGTCTACCAAGTGTCAGCCTTGGGGGGAGGGAGGCAAGTGGTGACCAGGACAAACTTGCCTCCTTCCCACCTCAATGCTCACAAGGAGTGGCAGGGAAAGAATGGCTGGATAGTGGAGTGATGCCAGGGGGGCAATGTGAGGGTACAGGCAGGGGCTAGAGCAGCAAGAGAAGACTTGAGCTTGTACCGCAGGGGAGTGGGCGCTCTGGAGGGCAGTGGGCAGCTGGCAGGGACCTGCTCTGGTGCTCCCGGGCGCCCTCTGGTGGCTGCTGTGGGGAGGACAGGAGGGTGGGGTTGCAGAGAAGCAAGGGTGGAGGGGACTGGGCTGGCCCAGGCTGGAGAAGATGGGGTGGACCTGGTAGAGACACAGGAGGGGGGAGAAGTGGGCAGATTCTGGAAAGTTCTGAAGACAAACAGGCTGTGCTTACTGGAGGCGGAGTAAAGAAAAGCAAGGAGTCAAGAATGACTAAGGATTTTGACTGTAGCAATTAGGGAAGGACTAAGCTGCCTCAGCAGAGATGGGGGTGGGGGAGAAGCAAGTTCAGGGGGATGGTGAGGCACAGCGTGGCTGTAATGAGTATGAGATTCCCTGTAACCCTCCTTGTGGAGACTCTGAAGGACAGCTGGATCCTGAGTCTGGACCTCAACGGACTGTCAACAAGACTGTGGCATCGTGGGGACACAGACAGGGTTAGAGCCCAAAGAATGGATGAGTCTGGGGGAGGGGGAAGAAGGCCAAGGACCCAGTCCTAGGTACCAAAGGGGAGGGGAGGACACCCAGGTGAGGGTCAGTTTCTCAGGCCTGGGGCTATGGGGTAGGGGGAGGAAGGGTTGACTGTTAATAGGAACAGAATTCCTTCCATGACATGAGAATGTTCTAGAATAAATGACGGGTATGCAATACTGTGATTATATGCAAAACTGAATTGTACACTTGAAACTTAAACTTATGATAGATGAATGATACCTCAATTAAAGACACACCCAAGATACTGAGGCTCCGGCTGGGTCCTCTTCCAGCTCTGAGCACCAACTGTGCAGATACGAGGGGTTGGTCCAGATAAGGAAACTGTGGCTGGAGGTGCGCTTTAGGGATCACTAAAGGGGCATCCCCCAGGACAGTCTGAGGTGGGCACTTGCGCGGCTGATGGCAGCTGAATGGGACACCCCGGCCACATGAGGGTCACAGCAGGCCGTATGTGCCCATGGCAGCCCACGCATGGGGCTCCCAGCCCAGGCACTGGCCTCAGGGGCCAACCTGTGCTTCAGCCCATCCCAAGGCCCAGCCGGCGGCAAGCGGATGGCGGAAAAGGTCTGGAAAGTGACATAATATTTTCTTTGGCCACCCCACAGCAGAACAATTCATGAGCTTGCATCTGGGGTGTGGGGGAAGGAAGAGGAAAGAGGCAGGAAGTCACGGTGGACCACAGCGGAACATTCTAAAGCTCAGTTGGGGTGCTTGGCCTCTGAGACTTGTGTGGATTACCCTACTATCCCCCTTTTGGCTTCCCAGAGGCTCCTGGGTCTGGGGTCCACCGCCCCATCCTGGACTTTCCTGCCTTAGCAGTCCTGACACTACCCTGGTCTTCCGGTGCCCTATGGCCTGCGGAGGCCAGAGCAACGCCAACACTAGTGTCCCTCTAAAGTACTGGCTGGCTCTGCCCTGCCCCACAGCCATAACCCTTCAGACAGTCAGACCCTTCAGTGTCCCCCCACTTTGTGCCTGGGGTCTCTGTGCTGTCACTCTGTGGCTCCACCCCTTCTGCCTGACTTGCACACTGGTCAGCAAGGGGCAGGGATGAATACACGCTGGCCTGGGTGCACAGCAAGGTGGCAGGGCAGGATCTGAGAAGAGGGAGGGCTGGTTGGGGCCTGGGGCCACCTGACATGGTCACAAAGAGCAAGCGGAACCGGCAGGTGCAGTCCTACCTCTGCCTGGAAGGAACCCCCTCCCCTCCTGTCCCTAAGACAGCACCTATGTGTCAGGTTGCCTAGTATCCCCTTGTGGGGGTCACCTCGGTCACCTCCTTTCTTGTTTTCAGGGCCGTCCCCAATCCTGATGCCCACAGGCCGTGCTCACTTGCTAGGACCCTGTAAAACCCTGTACATCTGCCACCAAAGAGTGTTGTCGCCAGGGCCAGCCTCCCTGTTGCTCTTGCTGAAATCACAGGCCCAGGGTCTTCAGGCGTCCTCAGCAGACCCGCCCCCAGAGGAGCAGGCAGCTGCTCAAGGTCATAGCTGCAGGGGCTGGCAGGCAATTTCCTGCACAGCCTCAACCAGCAGCACCTGCAGGACCTAAGATGGCAGAGACCTTACCAAGATCCAAGTTCCTCCCAGCCCAGGATGTGACCAATTATCTTCTGAATGAGCCACCCTGTTTTCAAGGAAATTAAGTTTTAAAAATAGCCTGGGGAGGGGGAAGTGTAACCTGACAGAGGGGTGACGCGGGAGAGCAGGCTCTATGCAGCCCCCAGGCAGGATGAACCTCAAGAGCACAGCTGTGCCACAGGACTGGGCTCCCCTTAACAGACACCTGCAAGTGTTTGTTGACTGGCTGACAGATGGGTGGACAGATACCCATTCTTCTCCCCTCTGCACACATACAAGTCTCCAAGTGTTTCCAAACATTTGGAAACAGGCAGGGAAAGTTCCCAAAGGATTGTAAACTCCAGGACCCAAGCAAGGACCTGAATATGTGTCCTTCCACAAAATCACTGGGTTCACTGATCCAGAACCCACCACTGCTCTCTGCTCCCACTCCCCTTAGCCCTATCACTGTCCACTGGGCCCCGCTGCTGTCCTGACCCTGGCCAGTCTGTCCTATAACTACAGTCACCAGACAGCGCCCATGAATACCTGAGTCAGGTTCTGCCCCTTCTATAACCCTCTGGGAGGGCGCCCACTTCCCTCTCGGTAGAGCTCAGGTTCTCAAGCTCCTGCACAGCCTACTCCCATCCCTGCCTTCACCTCTTCCCTCTTTCCCCCACTTCCTCATTCTGCTCTATCCAGGCATCCTTGCTATGCCTCCGACAAGTCAGGCACAGCCCTGCCCCAGGGCCTTTGTATGGGCTATTCCCTCACCTGGGGTCGACCACATGCCATGGAACACCCTTCCAAGAAACAAAATCCTTACAAGAGTTTGCTCCCTGTTTTGTCCAAACCTGGCTCAAATGTCACCCCTCAAAGAGGTCATCCTCCAGCCACAGCCTCCAGCAGTCCCACCAGGGTTACTCACTCTCCTCACCTCTCTGGCTTGCTTGTTCTTTCCAGCACTCAGCACCACGTGGCACTCGTGCATGGTATCTCTCCCACTACAGGGGACCAGCTCTGCTAGGGTGCCCACTGACAGACACCGCAGAGCTCTCAGTGTAGAGAAGAGGGTCACCACTGGAAGGGACAGCGGGGGTTGCAATGTCCATCAGATCAGCATGGGGTCCTGGTACCCAGGACAGGGCTTAGCTCCTTGGGACTCAGAATAAACAAGAAAGCACAGGACGAGGTAGAGAGGGCCAGCAACCCTGGAGACCAGGAAGCACTTACTGTACTGTCAGCTGGAATGACCTGTGTCCTTTGGGTCCCTTATGCCACAGGCCAGTGACCACAGGCACAGAGGCTGTGTGGGGAATCTTCCAGGGAGGCAGGGCACTCCACAGGCATGGCTTGGGGCTTGGGACCCCTTCTGAGGGGCAGAAGCAGCCCTCGGCCCCAATCAGGCTCAGCCATGAGGACCAGGGTGGATGGGGGCTCCCACTGGACACCTGGACATCCTCTTTGCTAAACTCTAAGGATCCTGTGATCAAAGAAGCTGTGGTTCTTTGTAGCCATATGACCTCTCTACGCAACAAAATGTGATGGAAGGGGCAGGGTGGCATGGGGAAGCTGGCAGTTCCACTCTCTGGGAGCCCTGAGTCACCAGGTCCCCACAGGGCCCCTGCTGGAGAGCACACAGGGCAAGGGGCAGACAGCCCACAGTGGGGACGCAGAAGCCATCATGGAGCTGGTGCCCATGGCATGTGGTCAAACCCAGGTGAGACCCAAAGAACCGCCCAGCCAAACCAAACCAGGTAAGAGAATCACAAGTCCACCCAATGGATGCCAGAAGCAGCCCAGTTTGTGACAACCAGAGATTATCTCCAGACATCACCCACAGTCCTGGGGGCAATATCGCCCAAGACCCGCTGCACTTCCCTTGAATCAGAAGCGCACTATGGCAGCAACAGCAAAGGTTCCAACTCTTGGGGTGTGCTGGGGCTGTGGCTGTGCAAGCCCTTCCCACTCAGGCTATCACCCCAGCTGGGGAGAGGTGGTGGCTTCAGATGGAGAAACCACTGCATGGAGAGATGGAGCACCAAGTCACTGCTGCTGAGAACCTGTGCGAACTAGGCCCCCAGCTCGTCTTAACCTCCACCCTGACCACATGAAAGGGGAACTGCGCCCCCCAAGTCTGGGGTGGGGACCTGAGGCTGATAAGCTGAGATACTCACCTGACAGTCCCCACAGGAGTGACCAGCAGAGGTGTGAGCCTAGGCGTGCCTTCCCCGCACCCTGCCAATCCCCGCCACCACTGCCCAAGCTCCTGGCTCCAGCCCCAGTTATGTCACAGGGAATGCCCTACCTGACCTTTTTTCCTACCACTGGAAAACTGGAAGTAAGTCAAGTCAATTTTTAAAATCACAATGTTTGGGGGCCTCCCTGTTGGTGCAGGGGTTAAAGCCAGTGCTATCAAACTATCACCAGCCACTGAAGCATGAGTTCCACATGGTGCAGCAGACCTCTCCTGTCTCCCCGCTATTCCCTTCAGCAGTGTATTTCAGCAGATCTGCCTGATCTGTTCCCCACTCTGCCTCTGGTGAGTCCTCTCACCCCCCACACCTCTGGCCTGTACCCCAGTTCTTATATGCATAAATAAATAAATCTTTAAAAATAAATAAAATCAGGGCCTTCCCTGGTGGCGCAGCGGTTGAGCGCTGGGCTGCAAAGCTGCCCACAGTCTCTGCAGTGCTGGTTCGATCCCCGGCCACTGGCGAGGGTCCCACATGGCGCGCAGACCTCTCCTGCCGCACCCGCTGCTCCCCTCAGCAGTGTACTTGGTCCTTCTGCCTGCTCTGCTCCCCGCTCTGGCTCTGGTGAATTCTCTCACCCTCCTGCGCTTCTGACTGTACCCAGTGCTTGTATAAATAAAAATAAATAAATAAATAAAATCACAATGTTTTTGAGAAAAACCTGGGTTTCTCAAAAAAACAAGCAGATTTAGAAACAGAAGGCCCCAGATAACCACTCACAGTGCAGCTGCCCCACCCACCTTCATCCGCATTCCCACCCCACGGTGGCCAGAGGGCACCTCAGAGCACCTGAGCCAGAGGCCATGAGATCTAACTATCTCAATTCTCATTTCATAATCGATATTAACAGGTGGGGAAACAGCAGCATGGGGAAATTTAGGAAGTGATCCAAAGTCAAAGGTGAAATACCCTATGATCACATCTCAGAATACAGAAAAGCATTCAAAAAAGTTCAACAAGAATTTCAACTCCAAAAAAATCTTTTAAGAAGCTAGATAAGGAGGAGGGTAAATGGGCAGGGGCAAGAACTGCCTTCACTGGAACTGAATATAAAGCAAAAACTAATGGCAAACACACTAATGTCAACCACAAGACAAGGGGAGCAGGCATGAGCTTCCACGGCAGTGGGGGCGCTCGCCAACACAGTAAGACAAGAAAACAGAAAAGGAAGACTGGCAAGACAAAGACGCAATTGGACAGAATTCAGGAGAACCAACCGGCTGGCCAGCAGAGGTAAAGAGTGGAGCTAGGTGGCCTGGCGCCCACAGCCCACCCAAGGTCACACCGCAAGTATGTGGAAGAGAAGGTGGCCTGATGGGTGCGCCCACCACCTACCCTTTATACCACTGCCTTTTCCTGGTGTCACATTAGGTTAGCTTTTATCTGTCAAGTGTAGGTGATCTGCTCTGGTTAACAGACATGGGGGATTCCCTGTGCTCCAGCCACACTAAGCCCTTCCATCACCTGTTTCACACCTGTGGATAATGACTAGGTGTGAATCAGGGGGCAACACCATGCAATGGCAGAAATAAATAATTCTCACATTTTTGCTTCACAAAGACGTTTATGACCAGCATTAAGCTGGGATAGGCTAAGAATTCCATAGTTAATAGCTGATTGTGATAGTTAATA